TATATATATATATATATATGTGATTCAAGTTACCTACTACGATAAGAATAAATCCCATAACATAATTAACAGGTAAAAATAATCCTAGCACCTTCTCGCTTCCTCTCTTCTGACTTCCTCATAAGGCATGTAAATTTGGGGGGGAGGGGATGGTTATGGTGAAGTTTAATGGAATAAATATTTTATTATTTTAAAAATCGTTAATTTAAACTAGTGCCACTGTGACATCCCAGGCATATATAGTGAAAGGATTCATTGACTTACTTTTCTTCTTATTCTTTCTTCTCGCTCAGATCAATACAGACATCCAGAAATGATAATTGCATTAAAGAAAACAAATACATCAAAATACTATAATTCACATTACGACATTTCATATTTATAATCCAAAAGTGACGTCCAAAAGAATATATACAATAGCCGCTCGGGCTACAAAATAATGCATGAACTAAAACTATGAAAACTATACTAGTGTCTAAAAGAAGCTTCAAGCGGGAGGCTCTGCACCTGAAATCATTAACCACATATAATGAGCTTAAAAAGCCCAGCAGGTCACCAAAGCCTACAACTGAAATCAAAGCACGGTACATAAGCAATATGCATGTCAATCAATCAAATCAATATTAGCCACTTGCACATGATCATTGAATCGATGCAGATACGAAAATCAGTATAGAAGTAGTAATCAATATGTAAACAGTAATCAGTACAAAAATAGCAAAATCCTCAATCGATAGTAGAAGAATCAGTAAACAGTATAAAAGTCCGTAAAGCTCACTGAATCAGTACGTGCGTTAAATCAATAAAGAAATCATCGGATCAATCAAATCAGTCAGTATCAAGAGAAATCAATTCCGGTCAATAATATCAATCGGTATGAAATCACATAAAATAATCAAATCAATACATCATGAAGAACAATTAAAATCACAGCAATATAGTAAAAACATAATCTATATCACGTGCTCGGTGTATTACATGCAATACAATTAATCTATATCACGTGTTCGATGAATCACATATTGTCAGTCTTATCAGTGTATCACTTGCATCACATGTATCAGTTAGTATCACATGTACCAGTTAGTATCACATGTATTAGTCAGTATCACATGTATCAGTCAGTATTCGATGTATTATGTGCTATAAGATCAATAAAATAAATCGGTAGTATCGATGAATCAATAGAATCAATGAATCAGTAGTAGAATCAGTAAACAGTATGCAATATCAATGAAATCGTGTAGTAACAATAAACTCATAAATCCGTCAGTAAATACATTCAATATCAATAAATCCATCGATATCAGTAAATTCATACAGAAATCAATAAATCCGTTCAATATCGAAAAACCAGTTCAATATTGGTAAATCATAAAGTAATCATAAGAACAAAATTTTACACATACATTCCAATACAGTAGTCTTACTTAACAAGTACAATCACTGGCTATTAAAGCATTTTTCAAGGTTAGTATTGATGTTAGTAATCAGTTGGCTTAGTAAATAGAGTCGTCACCCTTGCCCGTCGGCACATTAATCTCCTTATAGCTCCCTTCAATAATCACGTGATCAATAGAGGATAACACCAAACCTTTTTTAAAGGAAAGTCCGTCGGCCCACCATCCTGTACAGGTCAATCTTCAACCAATGGTTCAACCAGTCTTTACTTGTCATTCAGTAATATAACAGTATTTTAATCATATATTCACAATCATACACATCTAATTAATACATTGCAATCAACAAACACAATTAGCTCAAATGAAGAGAATCCTCGAAATATCGTACAGTCGACAGAAATCCCAAACAGAGATAAAATACACAATTTCAGAAAATTACCAAATTACCAGAAATCGGATAAAACAACATTTCAAGATTTTACTTGTACTGAAGCAATATTTTTCAACATCAGAATAATTTTTTATTTCTATAAAAATCACACAGAATTCAAAATACCCGGTGAAAGCTTTCCAGAAAATACTCAAATCATGCAAAATCATCATTTCAATAACATACCAAAAGTTACGCGGTAAAAGTTTCGTCAATACAAATATATGCACATTTTTCGATAACGGAAACACAAAACTGAGCGGAAAAATACCAAAATACGAAATCTTCGAAATCAGAAATAGAATTCAGATTCCTTACTTCGAGACAAACAAATATTCCAACTGCGTCGACGAACGAAAATGGCTCTGCGGCCTCCGAAATCAAGCATTTTTTTCTTCCTTTTCCTTCTCTTTCTCTCTCATGCTTTCTCTCTCTTCAAAATATCTCAAAATCAAATATTTATCAAGCAGGATCGTCCAGGACGATCCCCCATCGTCCCGGGATGATATTTTCGTCAAGACGAACACTCTAGACGAAGGGCTCTAGACAAATTCCGTCCCTGACGAATTCAGGTTCGTACAGACGAACTCAGGTTCGTACATGCAGTTCGTACATACTAACCATACAGATTTTCACAATTTTCTTTAGTTCGTCCCGTACTAAGGACAGTTCGTACAAACTAACTGCACTAAAAAAATGGAATTTGGAGGGGTTTTACAGCCACAACGCTTAACATTCTAGTGCGTGCTACACTCATTGCCTAAGGCCCAATGCTGCAACTAAGCTGCTTAGGGTTGCAGTGACACTTTAAATCCTATTTTCTCGTCAAAAAACCTGAGAGATCAATGCCTTGACATCATCATGTAATAACCCATATTATGAACCAGGTAAATAATTTTTGTTCTAAAGTTAATATAACTCCCAATAAAGAATCTTCCTCGTCATAGTATTTTGATTATAATATTTTACTTGTAAGAATTTTTTTCATAATTTTTGGGCACCAGTTAAAATATTTAAAAAATTAGTATCCACGTAGCTTTTTTTATGTTATAGAGATCGAGATTATGAACTTTTTGAATATTTATTTAAGATTTTTTATTAGGTGATTTTGAACAATAGCAATTTTTATCTGCCCAAAAAATTATTTTATCCTCTAAAAATAGTAGTTTTATATAATAAAAGTTTTAAAATATCATTTTATATAATCTCTTATAATTTGGTAATTTTAAAAAAATTTATATTTTTGTCTAATATGATTATTTGTTGTCTACTATTATAACATTTTTACATCTAATTAATTAAGCTCAATTATATATATATTTTTATTACAATGCATTGAAAATATATATGGATATATGCTTGTGTAATAACTAGTTGTTGTTAATATTATAATATTATGATAATAATGTGCTTGTGTAGTTGTGCGAAATAAACAAGTAAAGATTGGTTGACCTGTTAATTAGAGACTGATTGACATATACAAGATGGTGGGCCGACAGACTTTCTTTTAAATATTTTAATTTAGTGTGATCCTCTACTAATTCACGTGGTATACTGATTGAGAGTTATAGTGAGATTATTACTGTGTCAATGAGTAAAGAGTGACGACTCTATTTACTAAGCCAACTATTTACTAATATTGATACTAACATTGAAAAACACCGTGATAACTAAGATTTCTTACTTATTTAGTGTGACTACTAAAATGCTTGTTCTTGAAGCATTATTCTTATTATTATACACATTTATTATTACTGTACAAATTTATTGTTATTGTATTATTCTACTGTTATTGTCACTAGATTGTTATTATTATCAATTTAGATATGAATAATATTTAACACTATTGATTTATTATAATGATATTATGCATGTGATATATCGAATATGTGATATAGAATACCTAGATAACATGTGTATATTTCGATATGATTTTATTATATTGATTTGATTTTGACAGTCTTTATTGGTGTTTTAATTTGATGCTTTATACGATTTCTGTACTGATTGGTATTAAGAATACGATGATTTCTTTATATAATTAACATTCATACTGGTTTACTGCTTTACTGGCTTATGTACTATCATATTTTATTATTTATATATTTTACTACTGATGCATGCAAATTTATTATTTATGCACTGATTCAATGATCATATGAATGTAACTGCTATGATTTGACTCTTGTCATGTATATTGCTCCTTTAATTTATCATACTTTGAATTCAATTATAGATTTTGGTGACATGTTTAATTTTTTAAGCTCATTGTATATGGTTAAATGATTTCAGGTCAGGGTAGGAGAGTAGGAGTGTGAGGTTGATCAGAATTCTTTAGATTCTCTTTTTTTTTAGCTATTATTTTATACTCAAGACAAGATGTATATATGATGATTGTATTGATCCTAAATAGTGTATATGAATGAATATATATACGTACATTAACATTTTGAATTATAGAATATATTTTGTTGTTTAATACTAATAGATGATATTAGATACCTCTCGTGTTGTTTATTAAAAGATAAATGAATAATTAATTATTTATTTCAATTTAGATTCTGGGGTATCACACATCACCCAGACACTATAGCGCTATCAGCACCATTGCGCCATCAAGTACAACGTCGTGGCACCATACCTTAGAATTTTTAGATTTTTATTTGAAAATTATTTTCATAATTTCATGTGATTACAAGTGGTGTGTGTGCGATAGGAATCAATTGATTATCATGCATCTCTATCTCTCTCTATCTCTTCCCACACTAATGAATTTCGAACTATGTTCAAAACTGCTCAAAATCAAGCCATTTTGAATCTATTTAAAGAGATTTCAATTTCGATAAGCAATTCAAAAATACAATTGGTTATTTATCATTTATGGTAATTTAGTTTGAAATAAACTTTTAGACATTTCTTTAGAAACAAATGATAAAGATATTTGCCCAATAACATGTATTATGAAACATAAGGTTCATCTTTTGTACATTGCATACGGCTCTGCAATGGAATTTCTTCTTTTCGATAGAATTGATTCTATCAAAAAGAAGAAATAGAACCCATCCGATCCAAATCGTTAAATGATCCATTTACCACCCTTCCTTTCGTAGTAGGAAAAAAGATACTATGATGGTTCTGTTGCTTTATATATTTATCTCGCCTTCTACCACATTTTGGTTATTACATTCTTTTTGTTGTATTGGGTGGTATAGTTGGGGTATAGTTGTGGTTTCTTTCTTCTGCCCACATAAGGTTTTGTTGTCTCTTATGTTGGCAGGTTTTTTGTTCTTGTTACTTTTTCTTGTAACCTCTTTTTTACAGTAATTGAAGGGCTTTCGCCCCAAATTCTCCCAAAAAAAAAAAACATAAATAATAAAATTCCCTTAATATATTTATATATGCATTTAATTATTTTATTTTTTGAATAATATAAATTTATATTAATTATGCTTTTTTTAATATGAAATATTTAGATAAATTTTTAAAAACAATGGCATAGACCTATTCATACTAGTACTAATGTCAGTATTTTTGGGGATTTACATTCATAACACCAAAAACATTAATTTTTATATCATTAACATCTAAACTTTAATATTTATATCGTCAAACACTTTGTTAACAATATTAAAGGAGTACATCGTACACTTATCAAATATTATCATGTAAGCCCAACGACGTCTTCTCCGAAAAAGCTCATCATGTGCGCTTCATCTTCTTCGTTTCATGCCATTTCATCTAGACCCATCAATGCCTTCGCATGCAACTTGTTGTGCGATTTCCTCACTACTTTATTATTAGGAGTTTTAGGAGTTCTTGTACGAACAAAAAGGGAACGAGTGAGATAAGAGAGAGAGATATGAAGAGAGAGAGATATGAAGAGAGAGAGACCGATGACATTTTATCATATTTTTAAATAATAAATTTTAGGTGTTAAATATACAAATTCTTTTACTTTACATACAATATGTAAATATCTTTATTATTTTTATGATCTAAATGTTTAATATATATTTTTCACATCTATAACATTTTTATATAAGTATATTTATTTAGAACAATATCAGTGAAGTACATAATAAAAATATATTTTTTTTCTTTTCATAATTCATTAAATTTATAATGATGGAGTGTTATGTGAATAATATTTCACATCAATTAATTAAATATTGCATTATTATTATTTTTTTAATTTTGGCCAACAAATATTTTGGAAGATCCGAAAGGACCGTGGCAAGGGGGTAGGGTTCCGATTTCTCTCTCTCTTCTACAGTCTAGTCGAGCAGAAGTTGGGAGAGCGAACATGCAGGCGGCGAAGACTACGATTCGTCTTCTCAGATCCACTCGTTCTCTGGCGATGTTGGAAAACTACCCATTAGGCTCGAGGGCTTTCGCACAGTCGGCATTGTCCTCCGCTTCCACTTCCATCGACAAACAGGATATAACTGATCGAGTCCTCGATCTTCTAAGATCCTCACCATTTATTGATCCTGCCAAGGTTTAAATTATTTATGTTATCCATTTTGTTCGTCTTGATTTTAAATTTTTTAGTTTTAAACTGATTTTGCTTTCGCTTGAAGAAATTTCTAATTGATTTATGCTTTCTTCCCTCCTTTAACTCTGGACCATGCAGTAAAATTGAAGGCTTACATTTGATAATTAATTTTGGCAACATATTTAATCTATAAAACATCGACATAGGAATTGAGATTAAAAAATGCTGTATTAACATGGGAACATTGGCGATCGATGGTTTTAAAGTGTTTCGAGAGTTGATCATAATAAGAGGATTGTTGATGATTAGGTAGCAGCACTCAAAATTTCTCCTTTTATAACTACAGTAGCGCACAAAAAATCCCTTTTGCATGACTAAAGACATCCTTTCATACTCTCATGCAGGGGAACACTATGACTAAGAATTCTGACTGAAGAAAATGTCATAATCTCAATTTAAACTCTTCCTCAAGTCTCAATGCTATCCAATAGCCATGAGGAAGACCAATGGATTCAACTGAAACAATTGAGACAAAATTATGAGCAATTTACACTACAAAGTTTCCTAAACAAGTATTGGCTTTAAGAATTTCATTGCAAGAGAGGTTAATTTTTTATGACTTATGTGTTTGATTTGTTGAAACTCTTCCTTGTCAATAGTATTGTAGTAGCCAACTCCAAGGCCATCACAAATGATGAAACGACAAGAGGAAGGCAACGAGGCAAAGGGTGATAAGACTACTGACAATTGGCCATATTGTTCTCATTTCAATTTAAAGAGTAGAACAATCATAATTATTGGAAGCTCCACCTTGAACTGTGTGCTAAAAGTAATATAAGAAATTGGAAGCAAGCAATGATAATTGTTATAAAGAAAAAGTTTGAAATTTAATGGATATAAAGCCCATGCCCAATAATTAATTGCTTTGATGGTTAGAACAAAAGATCTTGAGCAAATCAAAGAGGAACTCTTCTAGTTGCATGTTTAGGTCTAGACTATGGTGATAACCATTTTTTACTTAGCCAAGCAAATATGGTCTTAAAATCACTGGCTTATAAGCTTGGGCTAAAAACTAGCCTACATCCAAAACACCACCTAGTGGGTTGGATCAATAGAGGAAGAGAGTGTTAGGTTACCAAACAATGTACACTCAAGTTTGTTGTTACCAATAATTTAATCGATAAAGTCACTTCTGAAGTAGTGCTACTAGAAGGATGCCATATTATTCCAAGAAAGTTTTGTGAACAATGATGTCATTTATTATAGAAGTTCACAAAAATTCAAACCTGTAAAAGATGATTGAGATTTTATCCTCAAAAGTTCTTCTCTTCTTCATCTGATTATGTGAAATTTATATAAGCAAAAGGTTTTGAATTATTTCTCTTGTAAGAGAAGTTTGTAGGACCATCCATCCTGTGTTGAAGCCTACGAAGGATTATCAAGTTTTTGTAGAGCTACTCAAAGCTATTTAGAAGGAATATTTGTCTACAAAAAGCTAAGGAATATAAGCTGCATTCAACACAGGAAACTACATCACCAGTGAAAAGAAATTAGTGCCTCTTCAGCCTATAAATGTTAAACGTAGGAAAATTTCATACAAAACCATACCAACCTAGGTGATACACCCAAGGTATGTGTGTACATTCGCAAGATCATATTTGATCACAAGGAGCCCTAAACCAAGAGGATCTTGATAATAGGATACTCATTAATTTCATTGATTTAGGAGGAACTCATAAAATTAGATAGCAAAATAAGTTTCTAGTATTTTTTAAAAAAGATTCTATTAGTTTTCATCATCAAGCTCAAATTTCTATGAAGAATAGATAGGCTATTAAGTGCAAGTTAGCAAATATGGAGGGCCTAAATGCAAAACTACCAATTCAAAATCTTTGGATTAGTTTGCTGGCCAAGCATTGAAATATTCGTGGCTAAATTTAAGTGATTATTCTAATCTCCACACTACAATGGATGAGATAATAAAATCCAACTAACTCTGCTAAAAGGAATAGGGTATCTGCAATAGGAAAGAATGAAGGAAATTTAAGTTAATCCTCGATGATTCACTCATGAGAATCTCCCTCTTTCTATTCTAGCCGCCCATATCAAAAGAGGATAATTCTTGAGAATATTCTTTAGGGTTTTTCTTTAAATATTTAAATGCATTGTGATAACCATTTATATTTGATTTTTTTTATGTATCTTTATTTATTGATAGGTTATTTGATTTTCCAGGTTGCTTATCATTTAGCGATACATAGCCATTTTTAGTTATTATTTGGAATCAAATTCTTCAGTTTCTTACCGTTTGTGATGACGAGGGAATGAAGGATGGTGTCTTCTTTCCGCCTCGTGGACAAGGTGGATCTTTGGAAGGGGATTATTGTTAGACCGTTCCAGCCGGTTCATACGGGACCGACTTACGAACAACAGTGGCAGAGAAGTTCCACCTCCTGCATATGACAATCAAACCGCCCAGTTCAAAAGAGCTGATTAGGAAGGTTTTAAGAGAAGTTTAGGAGGTAAATTTGATTGTAGGGATTGTTTGTAGATTTCCTTTTGGATTGTATGCATTAAATAGTTTGTTTTCCTAGGTTTAAGGCATCTTAAATTTGGCTGAAATTTGAGATCTCTCTTAGGTTTTGGGCTCTAGTGGCGTCTGGAGATTTGGGAGAGCGGATCTTCCTCTCCAATTGAAGATCCACGTGTATCTTGTATTTTCTTTCATACAACTTTCAATAAAAAAATGCTCTTGTGTGTTCTATTCCTAGTTTTCTTGTCATTGGATTTCTGAAATTGCTGAAATCAGATTTCAATCAAGGTTTTACTTAAATTTCTACAAGCATTTCCTATCAGGAGCATACGAGCTCTGACCATGACCATAATTTAATGGTGTCATTTGACCGCAAAACCACTCGGTCAGAGGGTCCCGGATATAATCGTTTACTTGTGGTACCATTTAGTGTCGAAATCACTGATTAGAGGTCGCGTGCCACGCCCTTACTGACAAGAGATGGATTGAGAATGAATCCTACCGATATTCTGGACCAGACGTTTGATCTTTGTGAGCTGAAGTGATTTTTAATTTGTCCACCTCGACAAACTGTTGCGAATGGTGGAGAGATTTTTGCTCTAAGTATTTTGATGATTTATTTCAATTTTAAGTATTGACATTATTGAGCGTTTTTATGGGAATTTGGAGGTGTTTTTAAGTATTTGGGGTCCCCTTCGGTTGAAATTTTCTATCAGCTCGACTCGAACACCCCCTGGCTCGAGCTCGACTCGACTCGTTTGCACTCCTAGCTAGGCATGGTGTGGGAAGCTGGGCATTGGGTTCGATCGAGAAGGCTAGGCGTCGGTTGTATTGGGTCCAACGGGTAGAGGGCGGGTGACAGGAGTGCTTGATTCGGCTACAGGCGGAAGCGGGAGGTTTCGAAGCTCATGCGATCATGGTCGGACGGGTTCGGTTGATGGAGGAGATCAGGCTGTGTAGGTAGAGACAAAGGAAAGTCGGAGGGTTGGATTTAGTATTTCCAGTGTGGAGTCGAAGAAGGTGTCAGTTCGGAACCGGAAGTAAGGAGTCGTTCATTGTCATTTAAACAACGAGGAGGGGAAACACGATCGAGATGAGCAAATTGCGGGAGGCGACATAAATGGTGCCGAACAGGTATGCATGATTTGAGCAGGAATTTTTTTTTTTTTTTTTGGATTTTGGTGCAGGTCAACAATTAGCCGAGCTAAAAAAAATATGAATGATGATAATAGCAAGAAGGCATGTATTAATTAGCACAAATTAAAATTAAGAATAAGGATAATAATAATAATTGCAAATCTGACCGCATGCTGGAACTTCTCAAGTGAATCTCCATACAACTTAAGGTATCTTCAAGGTCGGGATTAAGCTTATTTGGTCTTGGGATTCAATGCTGATGAATGGAATGTAATAGCGTTCCCTTAGCATTCTTCTTCTCCAAGTTGATTAGGGAAGCAATTTTATTTAATGCAAAGTGGTCCACTATAGCACAAATTAAAATTAAGAATAATGATAATAATTAAGCTTATTTGGTCTCAAACCAGAAGCTGCTAGAAATTGCGGCATGGCACAAATTTTGAAGAACTAGGAAAAGATCGATTCTTAATATGTATATATATATATTTCAATTTGTATCATCATTATCATCCTTGGGAAGTTTACGTTTCAAAGGTAAAATTATTCTATGTGGATACGGAGGCTATTCGGAGACGAATCAGAATGCACAACAATATTTTTTTGTTGTGTACCGGGTGACATGGCGTGTTCTGATTCGCCTTCAGACGGTCCAATGTGCGCGCAAAATAATTTCTTGTTCCGTAGGGCCAAAATCCACGTTTATCCCATCTCCTTTGACGCCACAAGGCGTTCTTAAACAACAACTAAACATGGCAGAAACTTTATGCAGGAGTCAACTGGGAAGATGCTTTGGCTTTTGACCATGAAAGTTGGTTTATTGGTTGCATCCTAGAATATTATATTATGATTAATGGAAGATATTTTATGGTTTTTTAGGAGACTTAAAAATAAGGGGAGCAAATAATATATCCTTTTATTTCGATATAATATACAAGTGTGATCAGTCTTTAATATGAAGATGAACAAGAGGTTAAACCCATTGAACTCTCTAGAATCACATGATCATAGTTATATTGAACTAATTAGGGTCATTATGAACTTGCAAGTTCATCGCGAACTTGTCAAGCTTGCCATGTATTCGACGAGATCACTCTACTCGTTGAGAGTCTAATGGAGTTGCCATATTCAAGCATATTAAGCCTAAGGATCGACTCGGACTCATTATGCTGGTATTCAAGCAACTCACCGTAACCCGCTATGATAATCTACCTCACGCTCTTAAGCTACTTGCCAGTGTTCAGGTCAGCTTTATTAAAGTCTTGTACTTTTGATAATCTAATAAGATCTTAGAGTTTCTCACTCTAGGTTTCTTTTTCATTCTCTCTAATGGTTATCTTTATACTGTGTTTCCTTTTAGTAAGATTTCAAAGTCATTTGCAGACAAATTTTGATCCAACAAAAGATGTTTGGATATCTTTTGGGTTTGTCTTGTGGTTGTCACTACCCCTCTTTTGGATGAATTATTCTGTGTGGACACCGGACGGGAGAACCGTCTAGTGTTCTCACTGTGTTTTTTACTGTAGCAGTTGCGTTTTTACTGTAGACAGTTTCTGCCCGGTATTTGCATAAAATAATTTCTCCCTCTTTTGATATATTTTCAGACCAGTCGAAAAACAAAAGCGCTGCCAATATATACTTTTTTTTTTGGATAAAATATGCCAACATATACTAGTAAAAACCAATTTTCTTCCTATATATATATATATGATGTTTGAAATGGCCGGTTTTCCATTTGTTTCTTGTCAGGTGAGCTCCGCTGCAGATTTTAAGAGGGATTTAGAGTTGGATATCCTTGACAGTGTCCAAGTTATGGCAGCAGCAGAAGAGGAATTTGCTATCGAAATCCCCAACAGTGAAGCTGACAAGTTCACAAACACCTCTCAACTTATTGAATACATAGTAACTCATCCACAAGCCAAATGAAGCTGCTTATAGTTATTCGATTTTGTGATATCCTTCAAGTTTGAAACTCGCAGGTTTGTAATAAAGATTTCAGAACTCGGTTATTTTCCTTTTGAGTGCTTTTGTGCAGTAATATGCGTACAAATGTTTTCAAGCTTTCAAAGTTTTGTGACAGTTTTTTTACTATTTTTTAGAACAATTTTTAGTATAATTTTATTTTTCAAAATTTGCTTTATAAAACAATACAAAAGTTGTCCCAAATAAAACCTTAGTCTCTCTCCTTTGTTCTAGTAGATGCATAAGGGATGTTTCAGCCTTGTTCAAAGGAGAATACTAGACAAAATATTATTCATTCAAGAGTTCTATTTATCTAAGCTAGAATTTCAGTGCCCTTTGGATGTGAAATTAATTTGTGCGTGCGGATACGGATGCCGTCTTGAGGCAAATCAGAACGTGCCACGTTGCCTGTTTGTTGTGTACCGCGGCTGTGTATACTTGTGTACAGGGTAACATGGCATTTTCTGATTCGCCTCCAGACGGCGTCCGCCTAGAATAATTTCTCCCTTTGGATAATATTATTTGTATTACAAATTTTGTTTGAAGACAACTCTTTCCCATTTGATGCTTCTTCGTGTCACATTTGTACATGATTGCATTTGTCCACACATTAGCAATTTGCTCCATTTCAATTCAAAATACTAAAGAATTCTATAGCTTCTTGCTAATTAAGGCTGATTTTATGTCGAATTCAAACTAATTGCTTTCAACTAAAAATAAAAAAAATTATAATCTGAGCCAAGTTTGATTTTATTTGAATTAAGAATGAATGATTTTGACTAATTAAGAAAAAAAATTCTGTATATTTTAAATTTTATTGATATTAAATATATTTAATATTAATGTGCATAGCTTCTCATGATAGTGTGCTTTACTGCCATGCAGAGAAGAAAAGAGAAGGATTTTGACTAAGGAGTGGGAATGAATGCTTCTCATGATAATGTTTTGGAACTATGTAAAGAACTCTTAGATGGAAAAAGTAGGAACCATTCATTGATTACCAAAGCTTTATGATAACAATTCTTCAACATGTAAGAGGGTGAGAAATTGAACTTAGTAGATATGATTTTATGAAAAAAAATAAAACTTTATTTTTTAAAAAAATAATGAGTTTTAGTATTATTTTTTAATTAAAAATAGTCTTGTATATTATAAAAATACTATTGAGTTTTTATCTTATACTCTGGATATTATTCTCTATTAGAGAATTGTAACACTTTTTTTTGCTGGATATTATTAATAAAACATTAAGATTAATGGGCCAATTGAGAGATTAACAGAAATAATGTTGATTAAAATAGTTAAATTAATTTATTCAATACTTATATCTCTCATTAAATTAAGATAACTTCATATTGCAAGCACCTTTTTGAATGATAATCACATCATTTCCTCATATAAGACACCTTATGATTGAATAGTCGCATCATTTCCACAAATAAGTGATAATAACTAATCAAAATAATTAATTTAATGAGTTGCTTAAATATTTAATCATTAAAACTCAATTAGTATTTTAAAGTGACTAGACAACTCCGCTTGAGATGGCTGCAACTTTTTAAAAGATGGCTGTAAAGCTACTTTTTTTGAAGCTGATGTAGAGGGTCGTTTACTAGCACAAAAATTTATTGAAAATAATAAAAAAGCAATAGCCAACACTAAAAAATCACAACAGTAAAAAAGATGTACCAAATGAAGCTTTCAATCGCCGAATTCTTCTTCGAAGAACATATCCTCTCTTCATCTTTAAGGCAAAGAAATACTTCTTCGGGCGACTTAAAGCCTTCGGTGAAAATTCAAAATACATAAACTTCTTAAATAAATAAATAATAAAATTTATGGTCTTTGAAGCATTGGATGAGGCCACAGAAAATGTGTGGCCTGATAAGTTGCTGGAGCATAATAGCCGATGTCCCCCCCTGCCGAAATATTTCAAGGAGGTCTTCAAAGAGTTGGAGAAAACAAAAAGTAATTTTGTTGGCAACTACCTAAATACCAAAGGGGATTAGACGAAAGAAAACAAAACACCATCGAACCCATAATGATGCTACGGTGGGTTTGCAAAAAGCCCATCATTGCGAATCTTGAGCCAACAGCAGCTGGACCGGGAACTGGACCGGTAAAGGTCTCTAGACCGGCCAACATTTATTCATTATCAAATTAAGGTTTCGTTGAGATGGCCTTCTTTCTGTTTCTTAAAACAGTTCATAGTACAAAAATTTTATTTTTTATACTAAGAAGTTGCTTTAAGAAGTAGAAAGAAAACCATCTCAAATGAAGTCTAAGACTTCGTTTGAGACGGCTTCTTACTGCTTCTTAAAGTAACTTTCTGCTACAAAAAAAAATTGCTTCAAGAAGCCGTAAGAAAGCCGTTCCAAACGAAGCCTAAGTTAAATTATATAAGGTGATATGAATAAATGCAAGAACTGTGGAGGAGATGGCCCCTAAGATCTGCCAGAGAGCACACAACACTTGCATGAAACAGGTGCTGCAGTCATTCTTTCTCCTCTTTCTTTCTGTCTCCCTATGCTCTGTCTGCACTATATATATGCATATATTTATATGTAAATGGCTTATAATTAACCCCATAGATCATATTGACCCTCTTCAATAACTGGAATCTCCCTCTTCTGATCAGCTTGGTTCCTTATCTGTTGCTTCCTTCACTAAAACTTGAAGAACTGGAGAAGGTGATTTCTCTTTTTTTTCATTCTCAACTTTCTTCTCTCTCTGTATCTCTCTCTCTTTATATATGTAGAAAAAGTTTTGCTCCCCCAATATGAACTAATTTTGTCAGAAACTTATGAGGAACTTGTTTCAGCTGTATAGAAGGAAGAAAAATCGATCAAGTAAATGGAGAGGATCAACTTCAACCTGTACCTTCAAAACTACTACATCATAAAAGAAAATGAGAGGTTGAAGAAGAAAGCGCAGCTTCTGAACCAAGAGAATCAAGCTCTGCTAATCCAGCTGATGAAGCAAAGGCTTGCTAAAGCCAACTCTCATTCACTCCCTGACTTGAATTCTAGCCCATTAATGTCTAATAAAGCAGAACCTACCATGCCATAATTGTTCTTCCAAGATCGAAGATATTGCTCTTCTGTAATGAAGCTGTTTTGTAGTTTCAGAATGTCCTTAACCAATTGTATGGGGTAGTTATGTATGGAGTTTTAATCTAAGATGTATGTTTAATGGCTGCAGTTATGTAGCTGATGAAATCCAATGTGCTAATAGAGTTTCATGATTTGTAGTGCTAATTTTGATTGCTTCAAATTTGAAATTACATTTAAGGAAATGAAAACTTATGAGTGCAGATATGAAGATGAATTTTGAAGTTTTTAAATTTATTTTAAGATAATTGCAAATATGGATTTTAAGGTTTTTAAATATGTGATTAGGTGCTTTAGGAGAAGAAGAATGGAGAGGGAGTAATAGGGAGGGTAAGAGTAAAGAAATTTAATATTTGATTGAAATTTTATATGAGCTTTCAACAGAAGTCAATAAATTATAAGAATCACACTAAAATATGATGTCTTAGGCGTAAAGAGATCATAAATTTAGAAGGTGAGCATACCCCCTTAAATTTTCCTATGTTTGCACTAATCTAAAAGTATTTCAAATAGATGTGCTATTGAAAATAACAGTTCAGTTAAAAGTGGTATTGTGAAGTTCCAATTTCTTCCCCTGATTTGAGATTTTAGGCTATAGCAAACTTTAACCCCATTGATTTCCATTTAGCATGGGCAGCGAATGGCACCTATGACCCTACAAATTTCAAAAGTGGCTTAATAATAATAATAAGCAAAAAGATTGAACTATTGAAGTAACATTGCCTACTCGTAAGGTGGTAAAGTCGGGGCACAAAAGCAAATCAAATAACAACAACAACAGCAGCAATAATAGTAATAATAATTTTTTGGCAGCTCTTGATATAAATTTATGCCAAAAAAAATGATAAAAAGTGAAATATTTGATTATATGCATTATAAGATAAATGTTTTGTACTACAAAATAATAGTAAAATTCATTATTTTTGATAGAAAATAACCTAAAACTTTGAGACAATGCATCATACTCTGATATGAGAAGGGAAAAAAAATGGTTGATCTCAAAGAATTCTTTAGAGAGTAGGATTATAAAAAACTTAACCAAACCAATTGGCTAGACATGTTGAGTTAGATCATGCTTAGAGAGAATATATAAAGAATAAGATATATCTCAAAAACTAAGAGAAAGAATTCTTAGATTTCAAATTTGCCATCCCCAATTGCTTGAAACATTGAGCACTATTTATAGGCAAAGGCAAGGGAGGCAGTGGAAAGAGCTACAATAGGATTGAACGAATGAGTAGTTGCAGTTGGTGAAGAAGTTGAGTTACCATAGTGCGAAAGTTGTAGGCAAGTTCTAATAAAAAGGATGAGTTCAAGTTAAACTGGTAAATCCTCGTAGGCAAATTTTGTTGGTTCTTCCACATTCTAGAAGACAACTTGACTATTATTTGATTATTCAAAGATTTATTGATTATCAGATGACTTGATTTTTAAGGCTTTGGGCCTCTTATGAGTATATGAGTTCCGAGTTAAAAATGATTCAAGTCGGCTTGTCAATCAATAGTTTCTTGAACTTGATTTAGGCCTACACCATGACTTGATTAATCTAACATATGCTTAATTATTTAATTCTCTTATCCTTTTGAGAAGTTGAAAAGGAAAAGCATATGAAAGTAGCAAATTCACCATACCATAGGAACTCTAAAATTATTAAAGTATATATTTGTATGTTTTGACATTTCAACATCAACGTAATGTCTAAGGGTTGCTCAAAGTTTTGATATGATTCCTAGCATTCACATTTTCGTCGCAATCATGACTAATTTTAACAGTCATTGACATGATCTCACCATGTGAATGTCTCTCGAGAGCACCTCCTGAGGACTCTTCTTAAAGATACAACTCAAGGTCTTTTAGGGGCATCTCTCAATATTTCTCTTAGAAAAATTTCTTGATGACAATGATAAGTTTGATGTTTTGGCTACTAAGCCTTTCTGACCACCCATTTTCTTGAGCACACATTCGACATGAGTTCTAATAGCATTTATCATAACTCTCGCCAAATCCAATGTGCAATACTACCACGTGAGTAAACAAACTTATTAGGAAGCATTATTGTCAGCATAAAATAGAACCCATATGGCACAATACTTGTTAAAGGAATTCATAGCTTCATAAGGCCACTTATATTTCTCAAGGATGTCGACAAAGCTAAAGTATAGTCTATGAATTTTAAGGCTAATTAGGACGGATTTAGTCAATGAGTTTCAAGATTGACTAAAATGGGATCAAATATGTGGGTTTAAAGGCTGATTAAAATGCGGTCAAATCTATGGGTACCAAAGCCAATTTGAGATGAACTAACTAAATGTACTTGGTCCTATTGACCAATTAGTTTCATTGACTTTAGGCAAGGAGATGAGTCAATTAACTAAAGTCTACCAATTCATTAAGGAAAACTAGGGGTTAATAAACCAATATAGATTTTGAGGTGAGTTAATTGAATTAGTCTAGGTTGAGTCAACTAGTGAGCTAAGTCTTCAAGGATCTACAAATTGGCTATAGAAACATGTCACCCTAGGTACATTTAGTAGGTTCTTAGGTAAGAGAAAGATGAAGATGGATCTAAATATCCAAAAATGAGAATCCTAATATACCAAACGTGAGGTTAAACTTAATACAAAATGAAGATCAATATTATGATGGGATTTGAAATCTAACTATATTATTTTGAAGTTTATGTTAAGGAATGTAAATCAATAAGCGGCCAAAATCAGGTAAGTACACCATTGATCAACTTATTTTCGATCTAAAAGTTTAGATCCAAGTAAAAACTAACTAACTATTCAGTATTTTATAATAATATAATTTTCACATATCCAATGTAAGACTAAATCTCAACTCTCTCATGTCTTAATAACATGAGAGTTCCCTATATTAACCTCATCAAATATCACACAACAAAAGCCAACTCCTGACTTAGAGCCATTGAAAAAGTCAACAATCTTAAATCTTGTTCTAGCAAAATTAATCAAAATAATAACAAATCAAACATATCCTAAAGTACTCGATTCAATTGAATCATAAGCTCTTATAACACTGAAAAATGAGAAAATGGAGATCAAAATTGAGCTAAGCACACTAATAACCAAATTTATTTTCAACTTAAAAGAGAGTCAGCAACATGATATTCCTACAATATCAGATTTTTCAACCATCCAATGATCCCAAACCTAAACTGTCATGCTTTAATAGCTTCAACCTTTCCTTTTATTAACAAAAATTCTTATTCATGCCATTTGCATTTAATCTATTTAAGCATGTTAACTTTTGTTATGAAGATGTTTTCAAGCACACTAAAACATGATAAGAGAAAACACAATATTACCAAAGAATTATCAATTTAGGCCAAATGTTCCACTTAGTTATTTACTTTCTTCAACATAATAACAACAAGTCTTTATCCCACAACGCAAGGCTGGCATATGAATCATTTTTTTCCATTGTGTCATGTTAAGAGAGAAATTCTCATTTAAATCAAATTATTTACTTTCTTCATTATAAAAAAATCATTCTAGTTAAGCTTATCATGAATTGATTTGAAAACATAAGCCTTTAAGCTTTGTTTGTACTGAAGGAGAGGAAGAACAATGAAATGTCAATACGATTAATTATGAATCCCAAGAAAAGTATATAAGATTTCCTTTCTTTTTCATATTATTTCACTAGAATTCCATCCTTCCATGCATAGCACAAAGGAAAATAAACAAATACTAGTTCTCTAACAATGCAAAGAATGAGAAAAGGCTAGCTAGTTAGCCTATAACAGAAACATTACACAAGAAATGGATGGCATTCTTTCGCACCTCCAGCAATTTTCAATGCCAGCTACAGTAACCCTGCCAACAGCTACAGCTCTCTATGCTATTGTTGTACAAACTAGGGCTTGATGCAGGAAAGAGAAGCCACGAGAAACAAGCCAGGCCAAGAACGAATGCGATGGTAGAAAAACCTGCAATAAATATCGGGTTTTTAAGCTGTTAATTCTCCTATGAATTAATAAAATGGAACATTTGAACAAAATGAGGAAAAGCAAGTAATTGTGCCAATACAAGGAGTAATTATTCTGAGCGGAGACCGGACGACGAGAACCGTCCGAATGTGCTGCTCTTTTGCTGCACTTTTTCAAATATTCAACAAAAGGGCAGCAAATATGCAATTATGAATGCACTTTTGCTGCTCTTTTGCTGAGTATTTGTAAAAGCGCGGCAAAAGGGAAGCCAATATTCAATTTGTGTAATATTTACTGCGATTTAGCTACCCTTTTACTGCGCTTTTGCAAATACTCAGCGAAATGGCAACAAATATTTGCTTTGGAGTGCATAATTATTCAATCAGAAGAAGAAGCAATAGAGCCAACTATAATAGAAGGACAAGTTTTTCGTGCCTATTCTGAGAAAGCTGAAGAAGAAATTGCTGGAAAGATAACTGTAATGGGAAGGTCCTCTCCCAATGACAAGCTTCTACTTGTAAAAGCTTTAAAGAAAAAAAGGGTTATGTGTTTGCTGTTACTGGAGACGGTTTAAGAGAGGAGTTGATTAAGCAATGGGATGGAGCCATACAAAAAGAAAGGCAATCTGAAAATGCAGGAGAATTGGGTAATGGTGTTGACCCCAATTTAGATTTAGAAAATAATACTGATGAGGATGATGTAGAGCTGGAAGGAGCAAATAATACCGATGAGGATAATAATATTGATAAATATGCATCCACGGTAAACATTAATCTTGGCATTCTTGACGGGAACCAAGGAAGTGAAGGTCAAATTGTGATGCAATTGAAGTTGCTTACTTAGTTGGGACAGATGAAGAGAATTGAGCTACTACAGATGAATTGAAGGGCAGTGTAACTGTCAAACAGAATGCAACTCATTCTGGAATGAAAGGTATGGATGCCAAGCTATGGAAGTTAGAGAAGTCAAAGCCTCTCATACGGGGGACAGATGAAGAAAAAAGAGATGAAAAATCAAATAAAAAAAAAAAGAAGCAGAAAGGGAAAAAGAAAAAAAGAAAAAGAAATATTCAAAAAAAAGTTAAAGAAAAGAAAAATGCAAAAAGAGAGTGAAAAAGAATTTTTTTTTTGTATTTTATGTATTTTGTCGTTGTCGTCTTCAACTCTCTACGCGCAGGTATAACCTTCCAAACTCAAGAATATTAAAACCTCATTTTTCGCGTTAGTGGCATACCGGAAAATCACCCATACACGCTTTTCTCTAATGTGGTGGGAAGGAAACCCGGTGCGATGCCGACGGCGAGACGGGTAAACCCCGTACACGCTTTTGTCTAGCGTGACGAGGACGAATATAAAACCACGCATTTCAAACAGGTGCCCGAAGACCCAAACACGTATTTCTCTATCGTGGTGGTATTGAAGATTTTTGGCCGTGGTATAATCTGACACTTTTCGTACACACTTTTCTCTAGTATGACGGGAGATCCATACTCATGAAATTTTTCCTGAACGGGTGAGATGTCGGGAGACTGCCGGAATTTTTGTTGAAACATGGGACCTAACTTGGACAAATTTGGACAATTTGAACTTGAGCTCAGACTCAAATTTGAGCAAATAAAAGAACTTTAACTCAATTTAAATAATATTTGAACTTGCGGGCATTGAACTCAAATTTGAATGAGTTTGTACAGGGAATATAGAACTTGAACTTGCTACTTGAACAACAAAGGACTTGAATCAATTTTGAACAGCAGGAACCAGACATTGAATTGGAAAGTGCATAATGTCAATTAAAATGCAAATCAATTGGATTCCCAAGTGATAAATACATAACTAAACTAAAACTACAAATGCTAAATGGTCTTAATCATCCAAATGAACAATTCTGGAGCAATAGATATGTTAAATATCATTTACTTCATTTGAACAATGACAAAATAAAAAATAGATAAACAAGAAAGGACTCATGCATTTTGACATTGAATCTTTGAACAATGAGGAGTAAATCATAAATGAACATATCAATCATGTTCATGAGAAAATGAATGTAAACATGATAAATGATGAAAACATTCAATGCAATACGAGCAGGACTTGAGAATGATGACCACAGGAATCTTGCAAACGATCATTCCAAATGCATGCAATGATTCATTTATGAGTGGTGCACTTATGAGTGGTGCACTGATACGCTCAAAAGTAAAGCATGGAGATCTAATATCTCTACAAGGTATGGTGAGTATGAAAGCCAACGATAATTGTCCATATCATGGGCAATAATAGTGTGTCAAGTATACATGTCTATCCCCTACAAGAAGAAAGAAATATTGACATTGGAGGGCTTATAGGATGATGACTGTTTGCAACTCCTCAACAACCATGTATTTGCTAATGTGGAGAACCATGACAATAACAAATTAAATCCCATTTCCAAAGGTATAGCTAAGAAGCTTTCAGAATCTAACCAGAAGAATTCAGCATGCAATAAAAACAACGATGTGATGCATATATATACATTCAAGTGAATGTCAACACACAATGCATTATGCCCACTAGAGCTAATGATCAATATTTGATAAAATGTTATTAAAAATTAATGCAATGCTTGATGACCCAAACTCACAATTACAAGTATAAAATACACTTGCTATTCCAATCATCACAAGGGTTGCAACAATCTTTTTAGGAATGAGTATCTCACATGGTTCTCCTGGACATTCTGATGCGCCTTCAATTGTTGCAATCGTTAGCTCAGGGCAATGGCCACTAACTTCGAAGTACAAGGCATCAATAAGGACACAACTATCCAAGGTTGAAATGATTGATTCTTTACTTAAGCCGACAACATAAAATAATGATGACGGCATAACCAGGAAGTCGCTTATTGATTCCTATATGAGCTATGGGAAGAGAAAGCCATGTCAAATCATTATTTTCGGGATGAATGGATGTGCATCTAACATATCACCTACGGGCAAAATACAGAGGGGGCCATAAAAAATATAATCTCCTATGTGTTGCCATAGAAGAACTGCCAAATATTATAAAAATTCCCCCACACTCGCACTACAATATGTATGCTCAAAAACACAAAGAAATATATATGCAATTATTCACCCACATAGGCCCAGGAGAGCGTGTTATGGGAACACACGTGACGTTTAGGGATGTTGTGTGGGTCAGTAAATGAAGTTAAGTTCGAACCCATTCATTCAACATGACTCGGTAGAAGTTGACATGGCTCAAACTATTAAACAAATATACGATCATGTCGTTGACCAATATATTTGTTTTAAATATTCATATTGGGTTTTCAAAGTTTATAAAAAGGAAAATTCATTAATAAAAACATACAACTGACGAGCATGATCCTCTGTCAGCAAGTTGACAGTGTCGACAATGTTCAGTTAATGAAATTCCTAAATATAAATGCCCATTAATACCCCGATGATGGCCGTGTTGACAGAAAATCTCAACCGGAGGGTTTTATTCTAATATTTCAAAATTCCACCCAAATATCCATCAAACACTCAAAATTCCAAAGATCTAAAATTGAAGTAAACTATTAAATGCTTAAAGTAAAACCCATCCGCCCTCCATAACGGTTTGCCGACGTGGACAAATTTAAAAATACATTTTCGCTCACAAAGAGCTAGCGTATGGTCGAGAATATCACTAGGATTCATTCTCAAACAATCTCCTGCCAATAAGGATGTGACACGTGTCCTCTAACCGATGGTTTTGCTGCAAAATGACACCGCAGGTAAATGGTTAAGACCGGGACCATCTGAACAGGGTGGTTAGCTGCTAAATGACACCACTAAATTACGGTTATGGTCAGAGCCCGTATGTTCCCCAATGACACTAAATCATTGAGATATGAATCAATAGGATATAATCGATAGGACACAAAGCTCGCTGTCAGCTAAGGTGAATTCAATTTATCCCCTTAGGCAAATATCCATCTCATGTCTACAAGGTACCCTTTGACGAAGTAACCAATGGTTGCCGACAAGGATCCTTCTGTCAGGTTGAGTCAACTACCTCCTCTAACTAAGTAGACTAGGGACCATGATAGCTCAGAACGATGGAATCATAGGATCTTGATTGGGTCCATCATTCATTCTCCTACCATCCGCTTTAAGTGCAAGATGGCAAAATTTCCAATTTTAAATATCAATTCTCTCAATACCTCAACCCATGCTGCTACTATATTCCAAATAACACCTATTCTCTTTTATGTTTCTAATGCTCTTCCGTACGATCGTCTGTTCCCGCCCCGATATTATCGGGCTAGCCGGGCCGGGTCGTGACACTATGGGCTTGTGCCTATAGGAAACCAGAACTCAGATCATAAAGTTCTTACAAAATGAGGGCAAAATTTTTGGGTAGTGTCTTATCTACAAACTCAATATGCCTTTCCAAAATTTACCCCGGAACTTAATCCGTTAAAACTCCCCCGAAAAACAACAGGGAGGTTGTGGCCAAATTTTCGGAGCCCAAACTTCACAAGCTAATATGATAAGATTGTTAAATAAAAACTGCCCATCATTCAGCAAGTTCATCAATACTAGTTTGCTAATTTCTTCAATATATGGTCATCGTTAATGAATCATTTCTAATTTAGCGGATGATAACTAGTTTTCAGAGTTACTAGATCAATATCAATAAGGAATTCTATAGCTATCAGATTTGATTCAGGTTAAGATACCAGCAGCGAAGCAGATACTACAGAAAACATAGCCAGCAACAAAGAATAATAACACTTCTCGAAGCATAAAGATTGATGGTCATGAAATTAAACAGCCAGCAAGTACCACACATCATGGAATCAGTTTTGTTTGTACATAAAACATATCATAATAACAAAAGCAACAGAAAATAATCAAATAATTACTAAATCTATCTAACAACTTGAAATGGTAGTCACAGTTAAAAATAGTTACCAACCTCTTGTCCTAGGAGACAACAGAACCGGTAAGCCCATCACGTTACAAAATATATGAGGAGTAACGGCAGATATTAGATTACCTGCACGTAACAGAACAATTATGCCAATGGAGTGAATTAGAAAAGTGTTCAGCAATCACGACGTGACACATATTTCAACAGTATTCCATGCTTCTTTGATCATAGGCATCAACAAAAAGAAATTCTATAATACACAATGAAATGGGCATTTCTAAGGCTTTGTTTGGGACGGCTTTCTTACTGCTTGTTAAAACAGCTTTCTAGTACAAAATTTTTTTACTAGAAAGCTACTTTAAGAAGAGTAAGAAAGCCGTCCCAAACGAATCTTGAAACTTTTCATGGCTGTTTGATGGAGAAACTTTGGCTAATAGAGTAAACGAACCTGTTCGAATGAAGAGAAAAGATGCATACCATCCAAATACCACAGTATATCCAAGTTGCAAACCTAGTAGTTATAAAATTTCAAAACAAAATGGATCAGCAATCAGCACAAAAAAATTGTGACGTGCTCAAAAAGAGCAAAAGTTAATCAACAAGTTAGCAGGTTATCTTACAATGAAACTCAAAGAAATCAACCATACTCAAGGCTCCGGCCGAAAGATAAAGAATGGAAGAAATAATTTAACAAGGATTAAGGAGATAAAAAAGTCAAACACTACTAATCCAATGCACCCTAATAATCTATTGTTCGTAGTATGTCTGCGTAACGGTATTTATATTTGAATGATGTTTAGCAATTGAGGTGAATAACAACAGGACTACTGTCCATGCAGAAGGTGAAGATACACAAAAATGTCATTACTTGAAAAATGCAGCTTGAACAAACTAGTAAGACTGATGAAGGATGACAACAACAGCATATCTTGACCGCATTAATGGCTAATTCCATTGAAAATGGTTATGTAATTCAACAAACAAAAAATTCTCAGGGGGTGAAAAAAAAAATACCTACGATTGAGAAAGCTTTCAAAAAGCTGTATCTTTGAAGATAATAAAGCTCCATAAAATGGTTCAAGTGTGCTGCAAAAGCGTAAAACACCAAAAAAAATATTAAAAGATTGATAAGCCACCCCCTGATGGGGCAGATGGACAATGAATAACAGACAAGACTAGAGTTTTGAAAATTCATAAACAACAGATTCAACCAAACTGCGCAACGATCCGTTAAGAAAAATAAGAAGAAAAAAACACCCAAAAGTTAGCATTTGGTTTCCAACTATAAAAAATTCACTATATGAAGAAAAATTACAATGCAAAATCATATGCACAGACTTATCAATATTTGAAACTCCTTAAATATATTCGTTTATCATTCATGTAGATACTAACCCAATAAATCTGATTCATGCATAAATTATACCTAATAAATCCTATGTGCATGGATGTCTACATAAGACCTCCAAATCATAAGTTATTGACGCCATAGGCCTAGGAAGGCTAAACGTCTTCCTCAGCTTTTGCTGAATATTATTTTTTGAATATATGAGGCACAACCTCAACTAAGATTTCGTTTGGGATGACTTTCATACTGCTTCTTAAAACAGCTTTCTAATACAAAAATTAAAATTTTTGTGCAAGAAAGCTGCTTTAAGAAGCAGTTAAAAAGCCATCCCAAACGAAGCCTAAGTGATATATTAAAGTACAACTACAATAAATATTGCAGAAGCGGTGCATGCATGTTTATAATTAGGATCTAAGCTTAAAGATGCAAACGGTATAAAGCAAAACAATTAAGATTGATATTTTTTTCCTCGATATAAATTGGGAAGGGACCCATTGCCACACACCAAGAAATGATGATTAATTATGGACATGCTTTCTTTGTTTAATAACCAAGCTCCAACTTGAAAGATCTACAATAATTATTTAGGACAGTAATCGTTTCTATCATATTCTTGTAATAGCATTCACGAAATTTGCATACAAGAGGATCATTGCCTACATGATGATTATTGCTCTAATTCAAATAATGACCACTATAACTATAATAAACTTACCATTTTGATCAAGCACAGTCACACCACTATTTTGGGAATCCATATCATTTATAACTCATTTGTGTATATATAGTTCTTTAAATCAAAAGTTATAAACGAACATAAACCACTAAAGCAATTGTTAAATTTTTTGTAGTTACATTGAAAACAAAGCTCATATTTATAGCCTCCATTTGGTAGAAAAACAAGGCTAAACACATTGAATTTGATAAAAAATAATAAAACGTATTTCTTATCAGCTTACAAAAAAATAGCAAACAGAATAACTATTATGAATATCAGACGTATCAACACAGGTTAACCGTACAATCTTGTATTAAAGCTGAGCATCATAAAGAAGGATGTGGCACCCTAGATTCGGATGATCTTTATAACCGTACAATCTTGTATTAAAGCTGAGCATCATAAAGAAGGATGTGTCACCCTAGATTCGGATGATCTTTATCAGATTTGAATCAAATATAGCGTCAAGCAATCACAATAGCCTTTAAGATAATGTCATTGTGCATAGATTCCAAGTTATCAGAGAAATTGAAGTGTATCCAAAAAAAGAAAGAAAGAAAAACTCATTTCTAAAGAACCACACATTCATGAAAAACTTTGAACAACCTATCATGAAATCAAAAGGAAATAGAAATTAAATGTGAAATCTCAAAGTTATGTTGTAAATACCTAATTACCTAAACTGAAGAAAACTGGGCCAATAAATATGATGATTTGAGTCTGAAATCCACTACAAAGAAGCAATGGTATCATGCATGCCCTGAACACCAATTCCTCAGTAAATGGAGCCTGTTAAATAGATGTTATACATTGCTAAAACAGAAAAAAAAAATTAAAAAAAAGAAGATAGAAAATGGCATTCTAGTACATAGAGTGTGAATAATTAATATAAATTAATAAGCACATATAATGGACGTTGACTTAAATTTTAACCATTCCATCCCTCACTCCCACATGCATACTCAGAGGAAATGGTGTGAGTGGGGGTTGGTTCGGATAGAAAAACATATTTACAAAAACTCCTCATTCAGCGAAGGATTTTTTCCATTACATATAGCCTGCAATATATTTAAATATCATGAAAAAGCATTTTTCATGTTCATGCCTAAACGGAATAACTGATATTTTCAAAATGCCTTGCATAATCAAAATTTGGCACTACTTTGTATATAAATATATTCTAAAACAGCTAATTTTCAAAAAATTTCTTCAAAACAAGCAAAGTTTGAAATCATCCAATCCAAGAATGTTAAATAGAACAAATAAAAATATTTAAAATAGCTTCATCTCCCAAGTGAATTATGATTTACTGGAACACAAGTCAACTATTTCTGTAACCATAGTCCTGAGCCGAACAAGTAATAAAAAAACTATATGCATTAAAAATTATGTCCACTACATTCCACATAGATTACAGTACAGCAAAGTTTATGAGCACAAACTAAAAACCTCCCTGATCTCATTCATACTAAGTGGTTATTTGGTTGCTAGTATTTAAGATTCATGATTTCTTTTACTATAAAATATATCTGGATATTTTTATCTAATAAGCAATTTAAAAACAGAAATAAAATATTTTTTTTATTTTTAAAAAAACTAGGACACTAGACGAATGGATGGCGTTGCAAGGATAGGGATGGTCATAGAGACAAGGGCACTGTCGCAATTGACAACAACTTGAGAAGTGGGGGTTTGGGGGCAATTGCGATGTTGGAATGGCTCAAGGGTCGTGGGGACGATGGAATTGAAATTTACCATATTTTGTTGAATTTGAAATTTGTCAAAACCCAGCTTTTTCGGGTATTATAAACTACTTATAGCATTTCTTACATTTGTTTTACTTCACGCCGTACGCTTACAAAAACTCAAAATCCATATATTCATTTTACTTAACACCCCTATACACTAAATCAAATGGCCCCTAAACAATATTATCCATACACCAATATTGCCTACTATATAATTTGAATGTAGATCATGCTTTCAAATGGCATACTTGCACATCAATCCACCAGGAGCTACTACTAGCAATTCAATAGCTCGTCGTCGTCATCATCATCATCATCCTTAGCCTTGTCCAAACAATGCTTATTTCATTTCAAATAATTTAGAACAGGGTTTTTAAAGCCTTTAAATCTAGCATAAAATTTTTGATACTTAACATCTGAGCTAGGTAACAAATCAATTAATAGCTACTGCAATTAAATTTAAACTATAAATAATAAAAGACTAGTAATCAACCATAGTATAATCAGAATCAATTCAATTTCTAGGACATGTTAACCACAGTGTGCTACATATTTCTCATTTTGATTGCTTCTAATTTTACCTGGATTTTTGTAGAGCATCATATCATATAGTCGTCAATAGTATCAATCAAGTAAATCAAATACAGTATTAAAGAACAAAGTATAGTTTACCATTACCCAATAAAATATGCTTGACTAAGTAGCTAAGAGGTCTTTTTTTTTTTGGGGAGTTGTACCTAAGAAAAAGATAAGCAACAGATTCCAAAATATCTTCAGCAAACAACATTATTCCTTTCTTATGAACCAATGTCATCAAATGAACAAATATTTCCATTGCAAGAGTACAATCTATCAGCTCTATTAAAACTTTTCGCTTCATTCCAACATGAAATCCATGAAAATTTTGTATAAACATAATGTGTTCATGAAGGTTTGCAGCACATATGCCCAAACTTCCTAAGAAAGTCAATATAAGGTAAACATCTTAGAAAAGGTGCACTTAATGAACCTTGTAGTCAGTAGTGGGTCGATTTTTTTTAACAATAGCATATAAATTAATTTTATTATTTAAGGGAGGCATAAATTGTATATTTATACTTAGAAATATCAAATAACATGAACATAATAACATATATCTATTATATATGAAGACATATTAAAATTTTATGGAGGTCACATGCCCCTTTTAAATCCACCCTTCTTGTATTACCTTTTTCCTTACAGTTTGAAAGGTAGAAAAAGATATTACTAGGAAAATTAGTAATAATCATAATGCGGGTGCCGGTTAGTTTAGTTGTTATAAAAATTAAAAAATTTTGTCCAAAATTTTGGGTGCAAGTTTATGTCCTAACTTTCATCATTCAAAATAATAAAAATAATAATAGTCATAATAAATGATACTTGCAAATCAAGGGCAAGTGACACTGACCACCACATAATTGCGCCAAGCCACCACATTATGGGCACAAGCCAATGCATGGTCTGATGCGCTTCGAGCAGCAACAGCAAAAATCTTGCACAAATCCAGTTCACAACAAGAACTATCCCCGCGTTCTCTCCAAGAATAAAGCAGCAACCGCAGCTTCGACACCAAAGAACCCGCGTACAAGAGAGAGGTCAAGAAAAGTGGAAAGACTACAGCTTGCCACTGCACAATGTTATATAGAACTATCGCAATGTCAGTAGCTTTTAATTGTAAAATCATCTTCCAATTTATAATTTTTCTCACATGTAAACAAAATATAAGCTTTTATTGCAGATAAAAAGATTACCATGTGGTCCTTTCTGATGCCGTAAAAGCTCAGCAAAACTGGGATATCCATATATCTCTCGACCTGACGAAAGAAATTGAAGATAAACGGAGAAAATAAGTTCCTTCGGCTTTGAAGTAAGTTTAGGTGCCTTAATAAATCTTGGTTAAATCCTGCAAACAAAGAGCCTAATAAGAGATGGAAAATGGGCTTAGTCGCAATGGAGAGCTTACTCCAAGGAGGGTAGCCGAAGCAAGGGCTGAAATGGCAGAGAATACTAGGGCGCAGGTGAACCTCCGGATTAAGTAGGATTCAAGTGACGTCGGGGGAGGTAGGCGGAGGACAAACGTTGGAACGTAGAGAACCAAAACATAGCCAAGCGCCATTACCATACAAGCCACCACCGCCACCGACGGCGATAAGCCGGCTCCAACGACGGTCATCTCGCGTAGCCTGTCTGAGATCGGCAACTCATTGAGCGCCGTGGCCGCCACTCCATATGTAAAGGGGGCTATTTTGGCGAATAAAGCGGGCAGTGTGACAAACCCGAGGACCCGGACGGAGTGACGGAGTTGGAGTAAGGGCAAATCGGTACATTATCATTAAAATTATTATTATTTAAATAAAATACAACTTTATATATATATATATATATATATACATATACATACGTAAATATTTTTTTAATTTCTTTCTTTTTTTTATTTTTTAAAGACAAAAAAGTGCATAAAAATACATTTGCCTATAAAATGTAAATATGTTGATGAAGCTTTTGAGAGTATTGTCTATAATTTGTAAAAATTTTGTTAACTAAATCAACAAACCACAACTTTAAAGAGTTAATTTAGTTCATATTTTTAAAATTAAATAGTTTATAAAAATTTAGTAATCTATTTGTTGTTTTTAAATTATCTTCAAAATATTAATTTAGAGCATGATTTACATATAGCTTTAAGTATCATTAAAATTTAATGATATAAATCCATTATAAAAACATTAAATTTTATTTATTCAACAATATTATTATTATGCTATTGAAATTTATAATGCACATAAAGAGGATTTTAATATCTTAGCTTCTCACGAATAGCTAATGCACACTTATAAATATATATAACATAAATAAAAAATTTTATGTGAAAAATCTGAAAAAATAAAATACCTTGAGGTATGGCCTAGATAAATATTATTGAAATCAATGCAAGATAAAAGAGAATAATATGATATAACTCATATAAATAAATATATGCCTCAATGTATAAATCATATAAAGAAATATATGTCTCAATGTTTATATTAATTATCCATATCAATTTATTTTTCTATTGTTTATCACATATCAATCCATTACATCATCAGTTACAGTATCAGTAATAGTGAACAGTAGTACTATTACTAGTATCAATATTAGTATCATGATCAACAATGTTAAATAATCTTTATGATATAAAATAATATTAGTGTCAATCATAATATTAATATAGTATCCCTAGTAGTGTTTGGATTAGTTTTCAGATATTCTATGATTGTATTTTAAGGGTATCTTACTTCTGCACTTATGACTCTCAATCAATTGCTCCTTATAACTCTTAATCAATATGTTCCTTATAACTTCCATTGAATTACTTGAATCAATCGCTCTGACTCTTTATAACTCTCAATAAATCTTCAACTCCATATGACTTCCAATTAGTAAATCACATAGATCAATAGGATATCAAGTAGAATTATCATATCATATAGGGATATCATTCAATACTTCATTTAAAATGAAATAAAATTATATCAAATTATTCAGAATAATCAAATCTATAACATATCCAAACTTGCACATTAAAAGTTTATGAAATCAAGATATAATGTATTTTTTATAGATTTAGGAGAGATTAAATTCGTAGAAATAAAAAAAAATTAAAAACATATGTAAAAGATTAGACACTTATAATGAAAAAATAAAATATTTAATATAAATGACTGGCAAATATGATACAAAGACCTTTCTTTCCCCTCTCTCTCAATTTTCCCTCTTTCAATTTCTTCATGGTCAAGCAATTAACCAAATAAGAGAGTCGGTGGGGGGGGGTGAGGCGAAAATATTGATAAATAAGTATATATATATATATATATTATTCATGGTCTAGCTTTGCAGTGCTCACCAGATCAAACGCCAAAGTGTTCTACTTCAGAATTTTCATGTTTTTCAAATAAATTTATTACAATCTCCCCACTTTCAAAAAACACAATCTTTGATATTTTTATATCAATGAGAGAGAGAGAGATGGGAACTAAGTGTCAAACAATATAAAGTGTTACATCATGGGAGCCACCTCTTTGAATTATGTATGAGACAAAGTGTTACGTGATGAGAGCCACCACTTGAACGAACTTGTAGGGGCCACCTCTAAAATTCTATATGCTTAGTGGATGGTTTTAGGATAAGGATACTGATGATGATGCCAATTACTTAAGTGTGGAAGATTGTGAAATAGCTTAAGTAAAAAAAATCTAAACTCTTAAACATAGAGGCATATTTTAGTGCAATGGTTGAAATTTTATTAAGACTTTGTAGTTAAGCGTGCTCCTCCTAGAGAAATCCTCAAATGGGTGACCTCTTGGGAAGTTACACCAACATGATAAAACCGTAAGGCTCTTAGGTCAAATCGGATAATATCTCAAGAGTTATGAGTTTAAGCTATTATAAATATGCATCAAGATTGTGCAGATAAAGTGAAAATTTTATAGGCATTGATAGTTTAAATGAACATAAAATTCTAATTAAGCATAATATTCATTTGTCTTAATGGAAGCGTTTATTTATTTTGAAACTTATTAGCATGGAGGCTATATGAAACTTTATTCTTCCATGCATCATAAAGACTTATTTTAGCTCACAATAAACTTAAGATACCTCTAAGAAGTAGTTAATTGATTCTGAAATAAAAATTATTCATAGGATAAAAGGAGTGATATATGATAAAAGAATTTGGAAAAAAAAAATGAAAAGTTATTGTGGAGGTGAAATCAATGATACGAAGCGATCATTGCGTATCACTTAACAAACAAGTGATTGGTGTTATGGTTGAATTAAGGCATCATTTGATACGACTTTTTTACTGCTTCTTAAATCAGTTTTGTATAACAAAAATTAAAGCTGCATTAAAAGGCAATCAAAAAGCTGATGCGAACTATCGTTATGCTACCAGCTCCGCAGGCCTATTTGCTTCTCTGCTTCTTCCACGTACGCCTTATACTTTTTTGGGACATTTAGGCCATTTAAGACAAACTCACACACACAACACATACACAGAAACTCGAACCTTAGACCTCTTAGTTGGAAGCCTTAGCTCTCAACCAATAGGCCAAGGAGAGTTGTGTACGCCTTATACCACCACTACTTAGCATTCTATGCTCCTATAACTAATTAAAGGACTATAGTACAACATTTTCCTTATTTTCCTAAGAAATATATATAGAGAAGCTGGGCTCATAGGAGGGTATAAAATATTATCAATATTTTTACAGGTTGCTAAACCTTTTTTGGTTATATGTTTCTTACCTTTTTGTGTTATGATCTTTTCTTGCTATACAGCTTCCACAGCAAAAGCCGTCCCAAACGAAATCTAAATTTACAAGTGATATGTCATCAAAAATAAATTTTGACATGGCATGAATTTCGATGGACATTTAAATTAAAAATTTTTAGAATTAAATTCATGATCATTCAAATTATGATTTAAATAAACTTATGATTGCACCAAATATCTCGTTAAGCCCAGATGAAGCATTTGAAGCGCATTAAGAAATTTCAGTATACTAATTGGAGGACCAAGTGATCTCCTAACCTCACATGCTTTAGTCAAATTGAGCGTGTTAACGAGACAAATGCAATGAGCCTAAAATTGCTTGATTTCAACATAATTAAGGCATTTAAATGCAAACAGAATAATTTATGATCGAGTGAATTGATATGAGTTGTTACATGAAGTATTTGAAAATGAAACTATGATTACGAGACATACTACTCTAAAAAATTCATAAATACACCCATACTCAGACACAAAAATTAGGATTGAAAAACTAGGAATTAAATTTGAGATTCAAGAGAAAATTGAGGCTCTAAAAATCCCAAAACTCCACCCGAATACTATCGCCAAACCACCATCGTAACATCACCTGACCATCGTCATCGAATCATCGTTGAACTGCTATGATCGAACCACTTATGATAAATAATTTGGCATCACCAGAATTTAATTATCGAACTAAGTAATAAAAACACAAGATAAATAAGTCAACACTGAGGAATAAAAATGTTTTTATTTTAATTTTAATTTTTAATTTTTTAAAAAGTTGTGATAAAGCATCTGCCAAATCTTACAATATATAGGAATCAATATGTTATTGCAACTCCTTTTAGGTGTGCATGTGGACTAACATAAACTAATGTTGGGTCACCTCTAAAATCTTATATACTTGATGGATGATTCTAGGATAGAGATACTAATGAGGATGTAAATTACTTAAGTTGAGGAGATTGTGAAATTCTTTAAGTAAAAAAAAAAAAAAAACTAAACTCTTGAACATCAAGTTGTCTTTTGGTATAATGGTTGAAATTTCATTAAGATTCCAAATTTAAGCATACTCATCCTAGAGAAATTCTGGGATGAGTGACCTCCTGAAAAGTTACACCAACATAACAAAATTATGAATCTCTTAGGTCAAAGTTAACAATATCTTGACAATTAAGAATTTAGGCTATTATAAATACTGCATCAAGATTGTGTAGATAAAGTGAAATTTATATAGGGATGGCTAGTTTAAATGAACATAAAATTCTAATTAAGCATAATATTCATTTTCCTTAATGGAAGCATTTATTTATTCTAAACTCTCTTAGCATGGAGGCTATATGAAACTTTATTCTTCCATTCATCATAAAAACTTATTTTAGCTAATAATAAACTTAAAATACCTCTAAGAAGTAGTTAATTGATTCTGAAATAAAAATTAATCATAGGATAAAAGGAGTGATATATGATAAAAAAGTTTTGGAAAATTTGAAAAGTTATTGTGGAGGTGAAATCATTGATACGAAGCCTATAGGTGTAATAAGTGGGATCATTGTGTATTACTTAACAAATAAGTTATTGGTGTTATAGTTGAATTAAGCTTCATTTGAGACGACTTTTTTTTATTGCTTCTTAAAGCAATTTTGTAATAAAAATTAAAGCAGCTTTAAGAAGCAGTAAAAAAGATGACGTGGACTACCATTATGCTACCAACTCCGCAGGCCTATTTGCTTCTTTGCTTCTTCCACTTAAGCCTTATACCACCACTACTTAATGTATTTTGCTCCTATAACTAATCAAATGACCATAGTACAATATTTTTCTTATTTTCCTAAATATATATATATAGAGAAGTTGGGCTCATAGGAGGATATCGAATATTATCAATACTTTTACAAGTTGCTAAACCTTTTGGTTATATGTTTCTTACATTTTTATGTTCTGATATTTTCTTGCTATACGGCTTCCACTACAAAAGCCGTCCCAAACGAAACCTAAGTTTACAAGTGATATGTCAATAAAAAATAATTTTTGATTTGGCATGAATTTCGATGGAAATTTAAGTTAAACATTTTTAGAATTAAATTCTTGACCATTCAAATTTTGATATAAATAAACTTATTGTTGAACCAAATATCTCGATGAGCCCGAATGAAGCACTTTAAGCGCAACAAGAAATTTCAGTACACTAATTGGAGGACCAAGCGATCTCCAAATCTCACATGCTTTAGTCAAATCTAGCGTGTTCACGAGACAAATGAATGAGCCTAAAATTGATTGATTTCAACATAATGAAGGCATTTAAATGTAAAAGGAATAATTTGTGATCGAGGGAGTTGATATGAGTTGTTACATGAAGTGTTTTAAATTTTAACTATGGTTACAAGACATGCCACTCTAAAATATTCATAAAAAACCCCAACTCAATCACAATAAATATGATTTGAAAACTAGGACCTTAGTTTGAGATTCAAGAAAAAATTGATGCTCTAAAATCCCAAAACTCCACCCGAATACTACCGCAAAGCCACCATCGTAACACCACCTGACCATCGTCATCAAATCATCGTTGAATTGGTATAATCAAACCAACTTATGATAAATAATTTGGCCTCATCAGAATTTAATTATCAAAGTAAGTAATAAAAACACAAGATAAATAAGTCAACACTGAGGAATAATTTTTTTTTTTATATATTTTTAAATTTTTAAAAATGTTGTGATAAAGCATCTGCCAAATCTTACAATATATTGGCACTACTAAAAAAATAAGCTTTCGCAGCACTTTTTATGACCTATTGCAACTCCTTTTAGGTGTGCATGTGGACTAACATAAACTAATTTTTAAATATACATAACTTGAAGGAGATTATCCTCAACACAAGGAATGTATTAACCTCACATGGGTGGGCTGTCAGCAAAGTTTAGAATGGAAGCTTAAATTTTATATTAAATCCCTCTTGACTTAAAAACTCATTGTCTTCTCCTCCCATTAATTCTAAACTCATCCAGCAGTGTCATCCATTCTTAACCAATTCAACAAGGATCAGATCCTCAGCAGCCAGCAGATAACCAACTCGATCCCAACGCTAACTTCCTCAACGCTGAAGCCTCACAATCCACCTAAGTCAGCCAACTAATTCAAACCTAGCAAACTATATGTCCTTAATGCATGGGACAGATTATTACGTGCATAATCCGGATATAAAGAATCATTCGATTTTGTGATTGTGAATAACGTAGTTACTGTTCACCACTGCGTTTTTACTGTTCACAGTCACAAAAACCGAACGGTTCTCTGTGTCCGGACTCCGCACATAATAATCTCTTCCTTAATGTGTATCTATTCACCACCTTCATATTTAAGATCGATTTGGGATGGCTATAATATTTTATAAAATTGTGCAGAATCCATACACAAAGAACCGTTCGATTTTGTGAGTGTTAACAACGAAGTTACTGTTCATCACTATTTTTTTATTGTTTATTATCACAAAATCGAACGGTTCTCTATGTCCGAATTCCGCACGTAATAATCTCTCTTTTAATGTGCATATATCCACCACCTTCAGATTTAGATGACTATAATATTTTATAAAATTTAATATGGAGTTATAAGCAACATCCCCATCCTACTTTAGATTGTACAATCAAACTAAGGCTTCGTTTGGAACAGCTTTTATATTGCTTTCTAAAACAGATTTTTAGTACAAAAATAAAAAAATTTGTACAAAAACTCCATTTTAAAAAGCAATAAAAAATCGTCCCAAACGAAGCCTAAATATCTTCACATCAGCTATATATAAAAGAAGACTAAACCGGCCAAACTACATAGCTTATCGATGATATGGACCAGCAGCAGCTGCAGAAGAAGAGTAGCGATGAGGAGTTCTTCGAAATAGAGCTTGAGGCGCTTAATAGCATCCCTTTGCCTGTCTACTACGAGCACCGGCTGACGACCGGAGAAGCTCTGCTGGCCAACTGTCTTATACCCATCACTACGCTTCGCAGAGCCATTCCAATGGAGAACTTTCAAGAAGAAAGAGCTGCGAGAAACTAAGGGGCCGTTGCCCGTTGGTATAGGATTGGATTTAAATTTAGAGGGATTTAAATTCTGTAAATCTGGATTTAGTAAATACTGAGGGTGTTAAATTTGATAAATCATGAGAAGATATTTGACAGTGTAATTCAGGATTTTAGATGATTTGTTTATTTAAAAATTAAATTTAATATGCTTTGAATTTTATTTATGTGTTAACTTAATTATGAGTTATTTATGAATAATTTACTCAGTAGCTAGTTTAATTATTCAATAAATTATTTAATAATTTAATTACTAATTATACTTGTAGACTTGTAGTTATCTAATTAATTAATTAATGATTCAGGTACTAATTAAGTATTTAATTAATATTTATATTGATAATGACCTAATTAATTATTTCTATTTTAAATCATATTAATCAAACTATGATAATTATTATCTAATTAAAACTTAAGAATTAATCTTTTAGGCGGGTAGGCTTTCCTCATCTTCTTACTTCTTCGTATCCTCTTCGGTTCCGCTAGTTCGTGTGAGGTACATCTTCGAATGAGTTGGCTTTTCCTCTACTGCATTTCTTCGTTGATGTTCTCCTGCCCGTGAAGTTGAGTTTTGCAAGTATCGAAGCTTCTTTGTCTCCTTTGAAGACGTTGTTCCTGTTGGATCGGAGTTCTTTGCGATAGGAGTTGTGGTAATGATATTTCTCCTCTTTCACGTGCTTCTTCCACTAAATCTATAAATCTCGTAATCCATAATTCTGTTGATCCGCTGAACATCGAGATTTACTTAATTTTGGATTTATGGCGTATACCCGTAAATATGGAATTTAAGAGTAATTCAGATTTACGACACGCTTGAAAACTATTTGACATGATTTATCGTAAATCCGACTTTAATCTTGCAACAAATCCGATGCCAACAATCCCTGAAGTGGCTTGAAGTTACAATCTTTATATAGGATGTTCGGGCTAGAAATTTTATAGCATTGATGAGCTTTTAAAGTTGTAATTTAACATTCTATGTTAAGAAAGTTATAGTGCAAATATATATATCGAGTCTCTTAGAATCGATTTATTATTCTCTACGGAGTCCGGATGTGTCCACAGACCAATAAAAATGCGTCACGTCACCCCAAAAATGTACCGCACTCGGTACCTAAGCGTAACCGGATGGGAGAACCTTCCTGTGTTCCCACAGAATAATTGCTCGAATCAACCAACACTTTGTAGAGAAAATTATTCGATTTTTAAATTATTTTGAAATTTTGTTTTATATTTTAAATAAATTTTGAATGATTTAAAAAATTGATTTTGTGTGTTTTTTAAATAATTTGATTACTCAAAATAAGTTGATTCTTATGCAATGGAATTATATAATAAATTAATAATTATCAAATCACAGTTACCGTGATGGCAGCCCTTCACTTCCCGCCCTCCGCTGCTGATCACGGCGCCGCCGTGTCTCTGGTGGTGCGATGCCGAGCAGCGACGGATCTCCGGAAGATCCACGGCCAAATGGTTAAATACGAACTTCTCTTTCATCCCGTCGTCGCCGGCCGCTTCGTCTCCGTCTTCCCAATCTTGGAAGGAAACAATCGTTGAGATTGCCTGCTTCTATACGCCCAGATGGTAGCTTTCATCGGCCATCTTCACGGCCTGGAGTTGTACCTCCCTTCAGTTCTCAGATATTGCGGGAAAGCTTCGGGCTTGGAAGAGACGCGGCAGATTCACGCGCAGGTTCTCAAGACCTATTTCAAGAATGACCCGTTTATTTCCAATTCTATCCTCCGGATGTATCTGGACCTTGGTGAAGTTGAGGTCGCGAGAAGGGTGTTCAACACAATGCCTAAAAGGAACGTGATTTCATGGAACTCCATGATTTTTGGTTGCATCAAAGCTGGGGAAGGCAAATGGATTCATGCCTTTGTTTGTCGCAATAAACTTAGATTCAGGGAATCTTGCATCAGCCTTCATCGAGATGTACTCGAAGTGCGGTCTTATTGGCATTGCTTTAGCTATCTTTCAAAGCATTTCTTGCAGGAGGAGAGTTGGAGATTGGAATTCTATGATGTCAGGGCTTGCCTTCCATGGTCTTGGTTGAGAAACCTTGAACCTCTTTCATGAAATGCAGAGAATGAAAGTCAATCCGGATGAGGTAACTTTCTTGGCTATCTTAAATGCTTGCAGTCACAGTGGTTTAGTTGATGAAGGCCTCAACTTTTTCAGCTAATTAATGAAAAGTTTAAAATTAAACCAAACATAAAACACTATGGTTGCTTGATTGATCTCCTTGGCCGAGCCGGGCGGTTGGAGAATGCACATAGAATCATAGATGAAATGCCAATGGAGCCTGATTCCATGGTTTGGAAATCCTTACTTAGCTCCTGCCTCAAGCATGAATCTATTGCTACTGGGGAATTTGCTGCCATGAATGCAATTGAATTAGCTCCTTAGGACTCTAGCTGCTATTTCCTTCTGTCGAACTTGTATGCCAAGGCAGGGAAATGGGGTAATGTAGATGCTATTCGTGCTGTTATGAAGGCGAGAGTAGTGAGAAAGAATCCTGGATGTAGCTCGGTGATGATTAATGGTATAATTCATGAATTCCTTGTGGGGAAAGAGATGGGTGTAAAATGCAGCGAGGTGATTCAGGCTAAGTTGGAGGAAGTAACCAGTAAACTCAAGATGGAAGGATATAGGCCTGATTGGAGCCAAGTTCTTCTTGATGTGGAAGAAGAAGAGAAAGAAAGCTTGCTCGGTGTTCATAGTGAGAAGCTAGCCATTGCCTTTGGACTTGTTAATCTGGACAAGGGAGCTTCTATTCATATTGTTAAGCCTCAGAGTGTGTGGTGATTGTCATTCGTTCAGCAAATTAGTTTCTAGAGTTTATAAACATGATATCATTTCGAGGGATCAGAATAGGTTTCATCATTTCAAGGGGGCCTCATGCTCCTGCAATGAGTATTGGTAGTGAAAAGAATCTTCAGGTTGGTCTTGCCACGATGGAACAAAATTTTTAGGGTGAATATTGTTGTATATTTGTGTAGATTTTTCAAAGTCAGACTTGTCTCTCGTATACATATATAGATATACACTCTAACACACTGTAGCTAGGGAATGAGTTTGGCTTGTAGTCAACTACTAATTAGAAACTTCTAGTGGAGTTTTTGATTGAATGTGAGTACCTTTGGCGAGTTCTTCTAGCAAATCCTTCTATTTGGTTACTGAGTGGTTTGGGTGAATTGCAAATGCATCGATCTAATAGTCTCAATAAATCGATAAGTTTTTGAGTCGTTCAAACGAGTTTAGTAATTCCATACCAAAGGTTGAGTTTAGGTTGATTCTGATAGGAAGTGGGTACAATTTTCTCAAAATCAACGAATGACAATAAAAAAAATAGGAAGAAGGACACACCAGTACTATTTTTAATACAAGATATATGAAAGAAGATAACAATATACAGTTGGATCTACAATTGGAGATGACTATTTGACTCTCCCAAATCTCTAGCCACCAGCTAGAGCCTAAATAACCTAAGACTACTCTGAACTCAGCAAACAAGACAAAAAAAATCTAACCCTAGGTAAACACTACTTAAAGCATACACAAAATAATACAATTCTCAAACAACCCACTTCATATTAATTTTCCTTTCAAATTTCCCCGCCATCCCCCTTTTGAAAATGCCTCTTGGGCCCTGTTGCGAAAATGAGCCTCGCTGCAAAAATGAGGCTGGCTCATGTTCCGCCTAAAACAAGCGGAAGTTTTGCCTCAAAATTGGCGGAACTGTTCCGCCTCAGTAGAGCCGGTCCAGGTTGAGCAGCTGGACCGGTCTAACAATACCCCCCTTCCAAAGACTCAGCTTGTCCACGGGGTGGAAACATGGCTCCTTCCTCAATTTATCGTTATCACAAAATATGAGAACTTGAAGAGTTCGGTCTTACATATGTGACCCGGTGTATACCTCACATCACATCTAAAACATAGCTCATTCACCCCCTTCTCCTGTGACTCCGTTTCTGTGAGCTTCTTGAAGTTGTCCCTAGGTATTCTTCCTACATTCTTCTCTTTCAGGGCCTCCTTAAGAGTACCCGGTCTCTTTTGATGCCAAAAAGATGGTGGTCATCATATATGAACATCCTGAGCTACTGTCTCCATCCCCTCCCTCTAGGTGTTTTTGATCCTCTACTAACTAGGCTAGATTCATAACCTCGCCCATATCACGAGGCCTCATCACTTTAACCGTCGCTCGAATATCTGGCTTAAGCCCTTTCATAAAATTTCCATCCAGCACAATCTCCAGAAGTTGGTCAAGTAGTCTGGCTAAGTGCTCAAATGATTCACGGTACTCCACAACTGTCCCCCTTACGCTAGGGTGAAGAACTGCTCAGAGAAGTCCCCTTATTTGCTGGTTTAGAAACATTCAAACAAGCAATCCTTAAACTCCCTCTAGGTCCGTATGGGTCACCTTGTATCTCTCGACTGGTACCATATTAAAACTTTTCCCTCCAAGCACATTTCAGTTGTCATCAATCTTTCCTCCTTCATCAACCTATTGACAATAAAGTACATTTCCATCTTATAGATCCATCCATGGGCATCATCTCCCTAAAAAATTGCTTCCTTACCCTCGGATCTCCTTCGTTCCGCCTCAGTAGAGCCGGTCCAGGTTGAGCAGCTGGACCGGTCTAACAATACCCCCCTTTCAAAAACTCAGCTTGTCCACGGGGTGGAAACATGGCTCCTTCCTCAATTTTATCGTTATCACAAAATATGAGAACTTGAAGAGTTCGGTCTTATATATGTGACCTGGTGTATACCTCACATCACATCTAAAACAGAGCTCATTCACCCCCTTCTCTTGTGACTCCGTTTCTGTGAGCTTCTTGAAGTTGTCCCTAGGTCTTCTTCCTATATTCTTCTCTTTCAGGGCCTCCTTAAGAGTACCTGGTATCGACTCTTTTGATGCCAAAAAGATGGTGGTCATCCTATATGAACATCCTGAGCTACTGCCTCCATCCCCTCTCTCTAGGTGTCTTTGATCCTCTACTAACTAGGCTAGCTTCATAACCTCGCCCATATCACGAGGTCTCATCACTTTAACTGTCGCTCGAATATCTGGCTTAAGCCCTTTCATAAAATTTCCATCTAGTACAATCTCCAGAAATTGGTCAAGTAATCTGGCTAAGTGCTCAAATGATTCACGGTACTCCACAACTGTCCCCCTTACGTTAGGGCGAAGAACTGCTCAGAGAAGTCCCCTTATTTGCTGGTTTAGAAACGTTCAAACAAGCAATCCTTAAACTCCCTCTAGGTCCGTATGGGTCACCTTGTATCTCCCGACTGGTACCATATTAAAGCTTTTCCCTCCAAGCACATTTCAGTTGTCATTAATCTTTCCCCCTTCGTCAACCTATTGAAAATAAAGTACATTTCCATCTTATAGATCCACCAATGGGCATCATCTCCCTAAAAAATTGCTTCCTCACCCTCGGATCTCCTTCGTTTCCTCTGTTCCCTCCATAATCCCCCCCCTTCCCCAAGGCACTCCTCCCCCCCCCCCCCCCCCCAAGTGTCCCAATAATCCCTTCTAAGTTTGTACCCAACACTTTCATCAAATTCTCACATTCTCATTTTAAACTCAACACCCTTCAGATCGTAATCAATATCTCTATTTTAAAATTCAGCTCATTCCCTTTTAAATTTGGCACTTTTTCAATCATAATTAGCCATTCCCCTTTTAAACTCCACCCGTCTCCTCTCAAATTTAGTAATCATTTGTTCATGCTTGGCCTCCTCACACCTCTCCCCGTATCTTTACCCCTCTTCCCTAAGAATAGGCTCTATAGGAGGCACTCTCTGCTCTCCCTCCATAATCTCCCCTTCCCACTCTTCCCTTCACCTTATTAGATTAGGGTTTTTTTGTACTCCCTTGGTTGTCGGAGGTTTCATTCACCTTCGGCGACGCTGTTTTGGATTGGCCATCGAGCAACTTATCCAACATCTCCTCCCAGATGAAAATTTTTAAAATCGGTCTTTTCATGGACCACTTAAATTTTACTTTTTAAATCTGAAACTTGAGTTTTGAGATTCAAAATTTCATAATTCATTTGTCCAATCTCCCATTCCAATACTTCGACCTTTCTTCTAGGCATCGACACTTGGATCAAACAGCTATGATACCAATTTGATAGGAAGTTGAATCAATTTCCTTAAAATTAGCAAAAGATAATAAAAAATTAGGAAGAAGAACACATTCTTACTATTTTTATAATATGATATATGAAATAAAGTAGTAAGATATACTTGAAACTTCAATTGGATAGGAAGATTCGGCTCTCCCAAATCCTTAGCCGCATGCTAGAGCCCAAATAATCCCCAACTTAAAAAAAAAAACTAGGAAAACAATAATACAATTCTCATATAATCACTTTCATATTAATTTTCCCTCATCCCCTTTTGAAATTGCCTCCTGGGCCCAACTGCAAAAATGAGGCTTTATGATACTTAATTATGGGAGACTTCAGGCTTTGGACTATTTCAAAATTATAGGCAATTCAAGCTAAAGAAAGCTTTGATTATTTTGTAAAAAATATAAGATTTTTATATAAAAAATTAAGATATCTTTTAAATATAAAATAACAATGAAATTTTCGTTTTTAATTAGATAAAATTTAGTTATCTTTTTTCTAAGAACGTAATATTTATTCAATATCCTATATTGAAAATAAATGTTTCTGTCAAAAGTTGCCATTGCCAAAGAAAATTTCTCCCGAATATCAAAAAAGCCACAAGCGACCTTTCTTCTGTTGTCGTTTAGATTCAAAGCGTCCCTTTCAATGGTCCCATCCAATCTTTTTGGCTGATTTTGCAAGGCATTTAAGTTGGAATTAATCAAAAGTAGACTTTGATTCTTTCTGTAAGTACAGTTGGATTTTTCATAAAATTTTAGAAATTTAGGAATTTTTTTTTTTAATTTTAAACAATATAATAAATCGCAAACGATGTGTCAAAATTTAAGATTTATTATATGAATCAATTTTCGAATTTTAACCTTTAATTTATTATTCAATCTAAATTTGTAGGATTTACTACGTCCAAAAAAATTCCCAGCTTCCTTCTTTCTTTGTTTTTAATATTTTTATTTATTATTTATTGAATCTTTCTCGATTGTTTAATAGATGAGATAATGAGCAGAACGGCCACACCTATGGCAGACACCACGTGCAGAAACATCTCAGCAGCATCAGCTAGAGAAGGAAAGATGCAGAGGAAATCTCCATCATCTTCTTCCGGTGAAATCTCCATCCCTCTACGCTATCTATTTCAATCGATTCATTCTGAAACAAATGAAGACTACGATACCGTTTTTTTTTTTTTTTTTGATTTCATCTTTAGCTTACCTGGTTCTCACTTTGCTTTAAAATGGATGAAGTGTTTGTATTTGTAATCTAATTTGATTAAATCAGCTTCAGCTCGTCAGTTGCTTTTCTTTACTATATTTGGAGATTAAAATGCCGGGAGTTGAATTTCAGGAGTGTTTGTGAAGCTCTCAGGGATCTTCTTGGTCGGTTTAGTTGCATGGATTTACCACGTAATTCAACCTCCACCTCCTAAGATTTGTGGAGCATCAAATGCTCCTCCTGTTACATCTCCTAGAATTAAGCTCAGGGATGGCAGGCATCTGGCATACCTAGAATCGGGGGTTCCAAAGGAGAAGGCCAACTATAAGATTATCTTCATCCACGGTTTTGATTCTTGCAGATATGATGTGTTTCCTGTTTCTCAGGAACTAGTGGAGGAATTAGGTATCTATTTACTTTCTTTTGACAGATCTGGATATGGAGAAAGTGATCCTGATCCAAAGAAGACTGTAAAAAGCACAGCACTGGATATTGAAGAACTTGCTGACCAGTTGGGACTTGGTTCTAAGTTCCACATTATGGGTTTCTCCATGGGCGGGGAAATTGCTTGGACCTGTCTGAAATGCATACCTCACAGGTATAATTAGTTGGCTTTCACTCTAGCTTAATTTAATTCCACCATCTTATACAATCTACATAAAGTTTGCAAGAAAATATTTCCCTAAAATAAAGGCCAGAGGGGAGGCAAGCATAAACTTATTGCTGATCCGCAGGAGTTGCAATGAGCGAAGCACAGCAATTTTTGGTTCCAGCAGTGTTGCTTATTATTACCAGTTAACCATCATAAACTAATGATTATATTAACAAGGAAAATATTTGGTCAGGATATCTGATGCACATTTAATCAAAATGAGTTTTTTTACTCACATTTATTTTGATATACAACAACAACAACATTAAGCCTTTATCCCGCTATATGGTGTTGGCTACATGAATCCTTTTTCTCCGTTGTGCCATGTTAAAAGTTAAATTATCATTTAAATCTAATAAAGAAAAGTCATTTCTAATATTTTCTAACCAAGTCTTTTCAGGCCTATTTCTACCTATCTTAACATAAGTCAAATCTAATACATCTATTTTCCTAACCGATCATCGGAAGGCTGCCGTTTTATGTGACCAAACCATCTAAGGCGACTCTCTCTAATCTTATCTTCCACTGGAGTTACTCCAGCCTTTTCATGTATACCCTAAAAATTTATTTTGATATACGTTAAAAATTTATTTTGATATACATGCAATATAAATTTTTTATTAATTAGGCATATATTAGACTCATCTTAAAAGAAACTTGATTACTATTAAGCTCATACTAATCGAACTTAAATCAGGATGTCCTTGTCTAAATTTTCTCTTACTAGCAATACCTGCTTTTCTTTGTTTAAACAATGAAGTCATTGACAAAATTTTGTAGATTCCAAAGAAGAAGTCTCTGACCATGAAAAATAGGACTAGTAGATATCATTATTTAAATTCTTCTTTTTGAATGAGTAACTTTTCAATGAGAAATGTAGATCTTCTCATAATACTTTAAATTGACAGATTTCTAAAGATGAATATGTTAAGTTGTGGAGTATAACTTCTATGTCTTTTAAGAAGCCTTTAAGAACTCCACAATAATAATAAAAAAATGCCATCAATTGGTGGATAAAGCTATATAAAATTCTTGATGGGTTCTATGCGTTTATATTCTGTTTGTTTTATTTGGTCTGATGATTTGAATTGGATTTCGCCATGTCATGCCATACTATGTGCGACAGGCTTGCAGGAGCGGCAATTGTTGCTCCAGTTTCTAACTACTGGTGGTCTGGATTTCCCCTTAATTTATCCATGGAAGCTTACAACCAACAGGCCATGCAAGACAAATGGGCAGTCGGAGTGGCTCATTATGCTCCTTGGCTGGTGTATTGGTGGAACACTCAGAAATGGTTTCCATCATCAAGCGTCATAGAACATAACTCTAAAATTTTCTCTGCACCGGACTTGAAGCTCTTAGGAAAGTTTGATGCTAGAACTCATTATGTGGTATGCTTCTCAATACTCTGAATTTTTTCCTCTTCCATCAATAATTATAGTGATGATTTTGTAGCCATTTACATCTTTCAATAGTGACAATCATGTAGGCTGTACTTAGTAATGTTATAATCTCTAATAACTGAGAAAATACTGTGGAAAGTAGATATCTATGAACAAGGTAAATATTTATGATTACTGTTTTGTAGGTTCTAATCACTCACATTAAGTTCATGACATTTATTCTGAAATTTGATTCCATTATTGCTGCTTAAGATTTTATTGTGAACCCTGATGATTTTTTTTTAATGTATTTGTATTTCATTCTTATTTGTATTTGTTTTTCATTCTCATATTCAATAGTCTTATCCTAACTCTCTATATCAACTTTATTAAGGCTTTAAGAAGCGGTAAGGGCATGTCCAATGGAACGACAAACAACCGTTTGCCGTTCTTCCGTCGCTCCAACCGAGCGGCAATTTTGATGCTATTTCATCGCGGATGATCGCACTGTTCATCCGTCATTTATATTTTTTTTAATTCCAAAATTATATAGAATTAAGTCTGATAAAGAATATATTAGGAATAATCTTTTTCTGGCGTTAGCAAATAGAGTTCGGTTGGAGACAAGTTACTGCATTTTGGTATATTACTGTATTATAGAGTGAAAAATGAGTTTTTCGGTTGGAGATTCCTAAGAAAGCTGTCCCAAACGAAGCCTAATTCTCCTTTTATATTCATTCCTACTGTGTTACATGACAAATAATGTAGTTGTTGACAGGCACAGATAAGGCAACAAGGAGAATACGAGTCACTCCATCGCGACATGATAGTTGGTTTTGGCAAATGGGAATTTGACCCAATGGATCTCCAGAACCCATTTCCAAGCAAGGAAGGAACTGTTCATTTATGGCATGGAACTGAAGATCTTGTTGTACCTGTTATCTTATCTAGACACATTAGCCAGAAGCTTCGCTGGGTTCAATATCATGAACTAACTGATGCAGGCCACATGTTTCCTCTGGCTGATGGAATGCCAGATGCCATTGTAAGGAAGCTTCTCTTAGAAGGTTAGCAGAGTTATATCAGCTTCAATGGCCTGTATTGTTTCCTTACCTGTATGCTTTCGCCTGGATTTCATATGGTTATTTATAAGAGAAGCAAGTATGGTATGTTTCTAATTGTCTTTGTCAAAGAAATTTTGTGCTAAAAAAATGCTTTATAAAATAATACGGAAGTTGTCCTAGACGAAGCCTTAGGCTTTGTTTGGGACGACTTTCTTACTACTTTCTTAAGCAGCTTTTTAATATAACATTTTTTAATTTAAGAAATTTTTATACTAAAAAGCTGCTTTAGAAAGCAGTAAGAAAGCCGTCCCAAATGAAGTCTTAGGTTTTGTTTGGGACGGCTTTCTTACTGCTTCATAAAGCAGCTTTTTAGTACAAAAATTAAAATTTTTGTACTAAAAAGCTATTTTAAGAAGCAGAAAAAAAAGTCGTCCCAAACGAGGCCTTAATGACCAGATAGAGAGGCTACCATGGAAATAACTATCGAAAATGATGCAAGGGGGGCGTGCTCAAAATCTATAGTTGGAAGGAGTAGCACCCTCTAAAAGCCTTAGTTAATTAGTTCTACTGGATATGATTTTAAATAAATTAACTCTAATGGATTGAGGCTAGTTTGTAAACCCAAGGCTTTGAAAATCGGACCGGTCAATGAACCGGAAGAAGAAGAGGTTAGCGGTTCGATGGTTCGACCGGGGTCGAACCGGGGTCGAACCGGATGACATAATAAATATTATTATATTTAAATATTACAATAATAACATAATTATTGATGCCGTCGCTGGGATCTCCGAAAACCTGTAGGAAAAGAATCGCAAGCCAAGCAATGGAACAGGGAAACGGAGCTATATGCTCCAGGAAATTTGTATATTGATAAGAGGATTAACAATTCACTGACTGTCTCGGCCCTTCTCTTCTCCTATAAGTATAATTCTATCTTTTCTAAAATAACTGGAAAATGCTATAAAAGAGCAAAATAACATAAAGCCAACTAATGAAGCAGAGAGGCGAAAAGGTAAAAAAAACGATAGTGGAGCGTATCTGGCCGTTATTCCCGGATGTGTTGTGCCGCAGGCACAACATAGTGCATCAATTATTTATTAATATATATTAAAAATTGAATAAATAGTTTCACATGATTCAACCATTTCTTCAAATAGTTTTATGATTTTATCTCATTGCTCAAAAGATAAGTGAATATGTTGAAACTAATAAAACGATTAAAAAAAATTCTAACTAATAAAAGGAATGAAGGATAAAAAATATTAAAAAAATTCCTATATTACTCAATGCAAACTCAAGGGCCACAATAACCTAGACGGTTGGAAACTTTATCCTGAAATGAAGCCCAAAAATCTTATAAGAACGAAGCAGGGACCAACTATCACTGCTAGAGAACTGTTAAAGCTTAATACTATAGAGAAGTCTGACCCAAAAATCACCTGGAGATTCCATATAGAACACTACATTTGCAACCATTCAAACTGTTTTGACCCCAACATTCGAACATAATAAGAGTAGGGGAGGCTGGAATTTTTGTTTATGCTTGTGTGTGAAGCAGATGCCACCGTAGAAATGAGAAATATTTTTTTTTGTGTGTAAATCTAAACAATACAAATAGAAAAAATAATACAAATATAGAAACTAATATTTCTTGGATAAATCTAAACAATACACAGAAAAAGAATACAAATGTCACCGCAATCTCACAAAAATCATTAATGTATACTCACCGCAAGCGATTTTGCTTCTCGAACTAGATGAGGTGCCGGAGGCGGAGAAGAAGACGACGGAGGCGGAGAAGACGACGGAGACGGAGAAGACGACGGAAACGGAGAAGACGACGGAGGCGGAGAATGGCAACCGCTCGAGGAATAGGGTTTTCGGCTTTTTAGTTTTCGCATAAAACGTTTTTTTTTTGCCTTGCAATGCCACACAACGCGAGCCCTTAGTGGCTCCGCTGTCCGCACAAAACAAATCGTCGAATCCCAGCCTCCCAGCCGTTTTTTTTTTTTTTTTGAACCGAACGGTTTAAGGAAACCGGAACCGATTCGGCGGTCGAACCGCCGGTTCGAGCGGTCCGGCACCGGTTCTCAGCAGAACAGGTTTTATTAAGAACCGTAACCGGCCGGTCCGGTCTGATTTTAAAAGCCTTGTGTAAACCTATTTATCACTTTAAAAACCTGATGCAATCTTTATTAATTATCATTAAGAGAATTGAAACAAGTATAAAAAAGTGAGTTAAGGTTTGGATCCATAACATCTTATAAACATAAATTGCTCGATAAATAATGTATTTTTATATTATGAATTAGTTATATATATATATATAATAAATTTTAAGTTAGCTTGAGTCAAATTTTGATTGAGGTATCATTAATTCAAAAATAATTCATAATTATTATTAAGTGATGTTCCATTACTTAACTTTTGCCTCAATACGTATTAGTTGATACATAATTTAAATTAAACTATAGAGTACTTAAGTACATGTATTTATTAATGTTTACTATATAAGTATTTTAATGTCGGCATTCTGATGACGGAGAGTAGATGTATTAGATTCGACTTGTGTTAAGAAATGTGGAGGTCGACCTAAAAAGAATTGATTAGAAAGTATTAACAATGATATTTTTATTAGAATTAAATGAAAATTTGACTCTTAAGTAGACATGATGGAGAAAAAAATTCATGTAGTCAACCCCACGTAGTGTGATAAAGACTTGATGTTGTTATTGTTGCATATTGTTGTAGTGGGATCAGAGTATTGTTCAAATTGGTTTGACCTAATAATAAATTGGTTAATGTGTTTAATTTTTATATTTGAATTCTTTTGCATGTGTATGAGAATGATTTGTGTGTATAAAAAAAGTTTGCATAGGTTCTGAAGTGGGTTAAGGGGTTATTGCTTGTTTGTGAAAATTGAAAAGTTTCCCCTAGAGAGCCTTGACATTGTGTTTTCTAGCACCCAACATTGTACTCTCTGGAATTTAGAAAAAATAAAATAAAAATGAACTAGCGTCATGGCAGTGTGTTTTCAGGCGCCTCGGTGCTGAACTTTTATTTGGTCCGGTGAACGTACGCTCCTCTACGTTCGGCCACCAATGTTTTAGCGCCACGTAGCATGAGGAAAAGTAACTGACCCGACCCGTTGTTTTTTGGGTTCTTGCACGTGCGTTTTTTAAAATCCTTGACGAGCTGAACAACATCCCATCACCTTTTGGATATATTTCAAATACCTAACAAATACCGAGTTGTACCTAGTTTTTTTTAGCAATACCGAGCAAATACCTAGCAATACCGAGCAAATCCCTAGCAATACCGAGCAAATCTTGAGCAAATACCGAGTTGTAGAAAAACTCGGTACAACTCGGTATTTGTATAGTTTTGATCTTCACAGAGCGGTATTTCTCGTTTTTGCAAAGTAATACCGAGCAATACCGAGAAAATTGCGAACATAGCATTCCCGGGTTCCGCTCCGGGTCAAGTCGTCGGGCCGCGCGGTAAAGAGTAAGAGCACGTGGCGACATGTTATTGGCGGCCGAACTTATCTCTACGTCAGGTCAGAGGACGTAATAATTGTTCCTCGGTGCTAGGCTAATTTATGCACTTATAAACATCTTCCACAAGCCATTTCATTCGATCATTTTGGGCAGTCGGTCAAGAGAGGGAAAGAGAAGGATTTTGAGAGGGGCCGAGGATGATTTGAACCACTTTGAGTCAGTTTTATTTGTCGGCCTAATTCTGAAAGTTGTCTGGATTGAGGTTGGTCATATTATTTCTATCTCAATTTTCAAAATACGAAGTTTTCCCTAAGTTTTTGATTAAATTTATATTTATATTACCGAAAAACAAGGATAATTTTGCACTGATAAAATTTATATGTTATAGAAATTGAGATTTTAAATATTAAATATTTTGAATATTTTTTAAAAATTTACCTTTTTAATTAAATAGAAAATAATCTTGAACAAGAAAAATAACGTTGTAGTACCATTAAAGTCTTGAAACAGTGTTTTGCACGATCCCTAATAATATGGTGAAATTATGAAATAGTACATTTTCACTTAGTAATGTGTTATGTTGTTTGTCGTTATAGCAATTTGAGAAATTTTGTACCGAGTTCTTTATGCTTTAATTTTCACACTGTGATGAATTATGTGTTATATTGATTGATTTATTTGAGTCTTGATGTGAAACATATTTGTTGGGAGATATAAAGGGCTAAAATCCTTTGGATTCTATAGATGCTGAAAATCGTAAACTCTTTGAAATTCATTCTGTTGGGTGTCATAAGGGATCATAATCTTACATTTTGTCTGAAATAGGGGGAACTCTATTGGGAGTTATAAGGGGCCAAAATGTTTAGATTTTGTTTAGGATATGAGAAATCTGTTACATTTTGTCTTGTGAAATAAAAGTTCATACGAAATTTCAGTTTGTTTAAATGCTCAATATTATTATTTGAATCTTTGGATAATTGCTATGTTGTATTACTTTGCTGAGCACAGTGAATTGTTATATTACATTTGATAATTCTCAAAAAATGTTTAATACAATAAATATTTGAAAATTTATATCGGTATTGTGGTCTGCTGAGCTGTTTAGCTCACCAATATTTTGAATTTAGCTTTCACGACCTAGGAAAGAGAAAGAGCATGTTTAATAGCTGTTTCAAGAATCTGATATGAGTTTGTAGGTATTTCTTCTTTTGATTTTTGCACAGTCATAGCTAATTTTTTTACTCTAATTTATAACTTTTGTTTATAGTTATGCACTATAATTGTATATGCATTTTTTATGATAAATGAAAAGCAAATATTTTTTATTAGTTTATTTTCAATATTTGATGTTATTAGCAACTATGCGTTTATTGTTATTTTTAAGTTGAATTGGAAGAAGATTTCTCAAAACCTTCCAAAATTTAGATATTGGGATTTGTTTGTTGCAGCGCAACACGATAGGACATGTCCAGCCTGTGAGTCTTATCAGATTAGGTTGTGACATTATAAATGTACTTAGATGGACCTTAATGTCATCTAATAAAAAAAATCATTGTAAATTGAGGCTAACCCAAGTTTGAAAAGGAATTTTTAGGGCATAAGTAAATAGGTTTA